CGGCGGCCGCTTCGCAGCAGGACCCCGCGGCGGGGCCCCCGCCGGCGGCGGCGGCGCCGCCGCTGCAGCAGGCGGCGGCGCCTTTGCCGACTTTGCTGGCGGCGAGGAGCTGTTAGCCGCGATGCGCAACTTTGCCGGTCACGATGCGGGGTTGCAGGTGGTGGGGCTGTTGGAGCACCAGCGGGAGCTTCAGGAGCTGCTGAACGAGGCCCCCATGTTGGAGTTTGGGGAGATGCTGCGGGAGGCGCAGCCGCTCATCGTACAGCGGGCTGCGGAGGCACAAGCAGAGCAGCAACACCCGCAACCGGTACAGGTACAGATTCAGGACCAGCAGCAGCAGCAGGAGGAGGAGGACGTGGCGGGACAGCAGCACCAGCAGCAGCAGCAGGAGCAACACGAACAGCGGCACTGGTTATGGGCATTGGAGCCAGGGCCCGGGCTCGGGTGGGGCCAGGAGGATGGCGAAGGCTCAAGGCCTGAGCATGCACATCATGTGCTGGAGTCGCCGGAACCGGAGTCGGGGTCGGGGTCGGAGCCGGCCCTGGGCGCGGAGATTGCTGGTCTGGCTGTAGGCGATGAGGATGCAGCGGAAGGGACCCGGCTGCAACTGGAGTCGGCGGTTAGGGCCACGGCGAGGGGGGTTACGGGAGTAGAAATGCCGCCGGGCAACGATCGTGTCGCGGCCGCCGCCGCCCCCGCCGCCGCGGCTGAGGGCAGAAGCTTGGAAGTGTCGGGCGGTAGCGGTTGCACGACGACGGCGCCAGTCGGGCCGCCCGCTGTCACTGACGCCGCCGTCGCCGCTGCCGCAAGGACGCAGCCTGTGTTGCAGCCTTCCCCCGCGCTGCTGCAGCCTTCCCATGGTGCTTCTGCTGCTCCGGCGTCGACATGGCTTAGCTCCGAGGAAGCAGCAGGGTGGAAGAGAAGCAGCGACCCGCGGGTCATCACCAATGACCAGGGAGCTGCTATTGGCAGTTGCAGCGGCAGTGGCATCCGCGGGAGCCGCAGCGCCGACGGACCAGCGGAGGGGGCGGTGGGGTCGAGGAGCTCGAGAGGAGGGGTGTGCCCAAGTCCAGTTGCGGCGGCGGCGGCGGCGGCGGCATCCCAGCTGGAGGGCCCGGGGGTAGAGGTAGCGCCTCGGCATGTGGAGGTGAAGGATGAGGGGTCGGATAAGGCCCTTGGGACTCGGCGACCAGGGTCTTCGTGTCGCCGTAGCAGTAGCAGTAGCAACAGCGATAATACCGTCCTGCGCAGCCGGGTGGGTCAGCAGCAGCAACAGCAGCAGCAGCAGCAGCAGGGCGGCGATGCAGCTGGTGCTGGTGATGATGGTGGTGACAGCGGAGGCAGTGGCAACGCAGTGCCGGACTTGACGGCAGAGGCCTCAGCGGCATCAGCGGGAGCGGGAGCGACATCGCCAGGGGGGCCAACACCAGCGGCAGGCGCGGATGATGCCAGGCCGCACAACAAGCTGCCGCGTCGGCGTTTCCTGCTTTGGGGTCGGAGGACCCACCAATGAGTAACCCGAGAGCTACAAATCTTACCTAGCTACATAGAGGACCCTTTTCCCCCTCACCTTCATCTCCCCCTTGGTTTCCTTGCATAGGATTTTCCCCATCCCCTTTTGCGCATTGTGCATTGCGTTTATCTGCTAACCACTAGCGTCATGATTCCCATGCGAACCATGATTAGACGCTAGGTCGGCCATCCTCGACGTGGTCCTCCTCCCGCCTTCCCCCCGGGTTGAAAACCTAGTGCTAACCCTGGCGCGTATGCCGTACAGCTCCCAGGCATGCTGTGGTTATTACACATTCCATTCTTTGTATCTCCCAACTCCCCCCCGGCGTGTGCCGTGTGTCGTGTGTCGTGTTATTTACCGGTGGTGGGTGCGGGGGAGGAGGGCAACACTGCGGGGCGCAGAGGGGCATGGGGGGGAGGGCCTGCGTGTACGGCAGTGGTACAGCAGCACGGAAAGCCAACGCGCGGACGGCATGCTGGTGGGGCGCGGGGCTAGTATGTAATGTACTGACATGCTGACACACCCACATATACATATATACATACATACATATACATACCGATATGCACTTAGGCAAGAGAAAAGGAGTGGCATCACGAAGGGCAGCTCCCCGTGTGTAGAGGTGGGAAGGTGGGGTTAACTGCGTTACGGCGTTACCTCTCCTCTCCTAACTCGAGGAAGGGGGTTGCGAGCCCGTGGCGGTGTATGGCGGTGGTGGTGGTGGCGGCGTTGGTACGATGACAACGGTGGTGGTGGTGGTGGTGCTGCTGCTGCTGCAGAGCGCTTTTGTAGATGTTGTTGAGTGGGCTGAGGGTTATTAACCGTGTTGAGGTGGGCAGCGGGCTCTCTGAACGGTCCACTTTGTCATGCTGTTGTTGCTGCTGCTGATCAGTAGGGCGGCAAAGGAGCGTTTTTGTTGTGGTGGTGGCAGCTGCTGTTGCTGCTGCTGTTTCTCTCTATGTAGCAATTGCTAGTACCTGTGTACTATTAGGATGCTGTTGTTGGGCTGTTTGGGTTTGTGCGTATGTTGCCTAATGCTCTCGATTTGTGTGGATCCGGATGGGGAGGGGGGCTGGCAGGAGGGCGATGCAGCAGCGTGGGGTTCTCAACGGACGAGCGACAGTGCGTGTGACAATCAAAAGCAAATTAAGAAAGCGAATGAGATCAATAGACCTGTTGTGTGCAGCAGCAAGCAACTGCAGTGACGCGGCGGAAGTGTCTTGCCATGTTTGTCTTGTCGGTTTTCTTCGCATGTTTTCAGTTGTGCTGCAATTGATGGTCTCTCGGGCTTTTCTAACAAGCCCCTGCTGCGGTGTGGAGTCGTTGCATTGGGGGCTGAGGGGATGAGCGGGGGGGGGGGGAGTTGCATGACGCGGTGCGTTTCTTGGCGTGTTTCATCTCTGTTCCCATTGCCCCTGTTCCTGCTCCTGCTGCTGCTGCTACTACTATTGGTACTGCTACTGCTGTTGCTACTGCTGTAGAATTCCGAATGTAATGCTTCACTTTAGGGGAAACTGTGTTGTTATTGTTCCGCGTGTTGCGTCTCTTGCTTGCTTGAGGAGAGGGAAAAACGCACCTTGTGTAACAACAACAACAACACAACACAGTTTTGCTTCACACTTTCTTAGTGCCACGTAGGAGAGACATGTTCATGTACTACTATTACATGTTCTGCATGCCGTACGCACACCGGTAGTTGCAGTACAGAAACAAGATACAGTTCCGGTAAAATTGGCTCGGGGGTGTTTTTAGATACCACAGCTTCCAAAAGGTTCGTTTTATCACCATGTAATGCACCGCACGTTTTCGCTGTCATGGTTCTGCTGTTCCTTGCTGCCTTAAGAGACAGAGTGTGATTGATGCAATAGGAATGTGGGGGTGAGGGCGCGGGCGTGAGAATGCCGGTCGGTCAGTCAGACCGTGTGCGGTCTTCGTTGCAGGGACTGTAGCCGTTGCAGGGACTATCCACCCCATACCTCCTGGTTCACCTTCGGCTACAGTCCCTGTTGGATCTGATGAATCTGCCGAGGTAAACCCCCCCTCCTCCTATTACGAGAGTGTATGAAGGCGGAACTAGAACCCCCCTCCCGCCCGATGTAACGCAAGCTCAACAGCGGCGGCTCCAGGTCCCGGCTTTCCGAGTGAAATCTTGGGAAGGTCTGGGTGGCAGTGGGAGCGTGGGGAGCATGCGGGTGGGAGGGTGTGTGCCGGGACTTCCCTCAACAGTCTCCTCAACAGTCCCCTCACAGCGACACGGCAGTGCATGGCGCATGTAAGTGTGGCTTCTCCACATCGCCATGGTAGCCCCCCGTCAGGAAACATAACCGGCTTAAGACGTGTGAGGGACGTGTAGTAGCAGCGGCGGCCTGGCCGGGAGATCAGGTCAACATCCTCCCCCCTTTTCCTTACATATGTTCCTCAACCTCTGGGGGGGAGATGGGTCCCCGCCGGCCGGGGGTTTCATTTTCACATTTTCCAGCAGGCAGGCAGCGTATTACTACAAGAGTAATCTTGCTGGGTATCACACGGAGGTTGGATTATCATGACGGCGGGCGTGCAGGGCAATAATAACGGAGCAAAAGGACCTGGCGTGATACGTGTGTATGTGTGTGTATGTGCGTGTGTATATGTATGGGTGTATGTGCCAACTGCTTTTATGTATGTTCATTTAGCTGCTGCCGAGGTGAGGTGAGGTGAGGTGAGGTGAGGTGAGGTGAGGTGAGGTGAGGTGAGGTGAGTGTGAGGTGAGTGTGAGACGATCGGGCGAGCCAGTCGCCGATGGGCATCATCATCACCATCGCAGCAAGTCTCTGGCGACGCGATGACTGTCTTGCATCGATTACAACTGCGACTACAGCCATATATCACACATTCCGGTACAACATAAATGATTTCATGGTGTATAGTCCATACACACACACACACACACACACACACACACACACACACACACACACACACACACACACACACACACACACCGCGGCACGGTGTGTACGACGGAGGCAGAAACCCCAAGAGCGTTCCCCCCACGAGGTGACAACAGAGCCCACAATACTCGGGCACCCCGCATCACGCTGAAGCCAAGATTCAACTGTAATGCTGCAACGCGCAGCGACATTGTTGCGGACACGGAAGGAACTGAAGATGATTCCACAACAGGGGTTAGGATTAGGCAGGTTGGTGTGCTCGTTGGGTAGGAAATGCCGTCGTCGAGTCGTGCCGGCCTCTGCACTGAGTTTTAAATCGTGTCTCATGTGTCGCCAGTGCGGCCGACAGCCGACAGCCGACACCGACGGCCCCGACGGTTTTACCCGTTTGCTTGTTGCTCATTCGGCGTCCGAGTCGCTTTCTGAGTCCGTGAGGAAGTCGCCCGGCTGCTGAATCTGCATCGGCGTGTACGCAATTGGGGATGTAAAGGTTAGGAGGTAATTGGTTTGCTTGCTTGTGCGTGTGTGTGCGTGTGTGTGCGTGTGTGGACGGCGAGTGTGTGCGTGTGTGTGCGTGTGTGTGCGTGTGTGTGCGTGTGTGTGCGTGTGTGTGCGTGTGTGTGCGTGTGTGTGCGTGTGTGTGCGTGTGTGTGCGTGTGTGTGCGTGTGTGTGCGTGTGTGTGCGTGTGTGTGCGTGTGTGTGCGTGCGTGTGCGTGCGTGTGCGCGCGTGTGTGCGCGCGTGTGCGCGCGTGTGTGCGCGCGTGTGCGCGCGTGTGCGCGCGTGTGTGCGCGCGTGTGTGCGCGTGTGTGCGTGTGTGCGCGCGTGTGCGCGCGTGTGTGCGTGTGTGCGCGCGTGTGTATGTATGTGCGTGCGTGTACTTTTGCAAGAACTAGGCCGGAACGACAAACCATGCGGAAGTGCCATGGCGCCGCCATGGTGGCGGTAGGATAGGAAGCCATAGTCCAGAATCATGCAACCGGATCCTCGGGGACTCCTTTTAAAGGTCCATGTAACAACGGCTCAGCCAATATCGAATGATTTCATTGTCGGACATATTCAGGGGAGGGATCGCTCAGGTCCAGAACGCAGCACTTTGCATGTAAACGTATTCGTAAATGTTTCCGCAGCCGTTTAATGCAGATGTCAAGCTGTGGGAGCGTCACGAGGTTCTGAGCCGATACAAGAGTATCAAAGGCGCACCCCGATTACGGCGACAATCTACCAGGTAGCTATTATCAGCCAAAAGCTCAGCATGACCGCACATCACGCCTTGTATCGGCCGCGCAGTTTTGTTTTGAGGAGCGCTTTCTGGAGATTGCCTTCATGACTAATACCCGATATTCAGAAACTTTAAATGCTGCCCCTTCACTGCAGCCTGGATCAAGGCTGCCCTACTGCAGATTCCTTTATTTTCTGCCATCCGCCGCATAAGCGCGTCAAACAGTTTTACCTCGAAAGCCGTGCAGCAAGAGCAAGGACTCAACACACCAGATCAGGGCGGCAGTTGCATATGCAAACGTACTGTATTTATCGTGGCAATAAAGATTTGTTCGTTGTTGCATGTGTTACGATGTTTTCAGGGGTGTGCCCGAAGTGCGGCAACTGTCATGAGAGTGTGCGGCGCGTTTTCCATTCCATCCAGATATCTTCACTTAGAGCTCAAATAGGTAAGGAGCTGCCTATGCCTTCCTTCCATGAACGCCCCGACCATCCACCGACCCGTTTTTGACTTTTCCCGTTCAAATTCGGGACGAGCAGCAGGGGCAGCAGGGCAGGGCCGGGGACCATGTTACGGCGCGGGACGCGCTGTTTCAACACTGGAATATGAAAATTCTTGCCAGTGGCATGGCGCCCAGATGGAGGAATGTGCGCGTCTAGCTTTCGGGTTTAGCGTTCGGGTTATGTTTTCCACAAACCACAAGCCCGCCGTAAGCGCCCTGGCTGTGGAATCCTTGCGCCGATCTCTTCTTTCCTCGTTTGATTGCTTCTTACTCTCTCTGCTCGCGTGCGCAAAGTGACTAACTACTTACCCTGACGAACGCGCAAGCCGCAACGCGCCCAAAACATCGTCCAAAATTTGTCATCGTGCGGTTTTGTAAGGTTCGGCACCTCGGAGTGCAGTTGATACTTTATTCTCTGAACCTACCTTATAAATATCCATTTGATACATTTATTCTCTGAACCTACCTTGTAAATATCCATTTGATACATTTAGTCTGGCGAAATTTTGGCGCTGCGCGTAATGTCTCCCTGGGGCCGTCCGTTTACGTGAGTGCTCCCCACCCTTCACCACTTAGCTAAAATGAAGGCCACACACAGAACGACTTCTAACAACGCAGGCAAACGTAAACCTCAGATACCTGTTTTCTTCTCCCTCTTCCCGATTCGCTTCATTGCCTTTTCCCTCCTCACCACCACCTCTTTTTGCTCTCGGCACGGAGGCCAGATGGGCATTGTGACAGAGCTTTTCCATTTGCTCTTTTGGGGCTGAAATCGATCTGCTCACCTGTCGTGTTATCGGAACCTCAGCTTTACCCTGCTGGCTTTTTGACCTATATGGGCCTACGACTCTCACACGATGAGACAGAATAAACCCGCATAGAACCCGCAGCTCACCTTCCACCCTGTACGGCCGCAGGAAATGTAGGAGCAGTAGCAGCCGCAGGAAATGTAGGAGCAGTAGCAGCCGCAGGAAATGTAGGAGCAGTAGCAGCGGGCGCGGCGTTGCGGTAGGGCAGGCAGTAACGACAGGGGACGTCACAGCGTGCAGGAGCAGGGGGAGCAGCAGCACTTGAGTGTCGGGGGACCCACGGTACCGGTTCGAGATGGCTGGTAGCCAAGGAAAATGCATGCTCTGAACACAAAGCGCCGAGCCAGCAAGTCATATATGCCCACATACCTCTCCCCCATCCGCCATGTAATCACCCAGATACCAACCTTGTTATTACAACACACACCAAAAGCATTTTACTGGAAAAGGTTTAGACGCCGCTGGCGGCTACGGGGAGCGCGTTGGTGAAGTTTTTCGATTGCCCACTTGGGCCTTTTACCGCCTCGCAGCCCAGATTACTATCCTTTTACGGACGCCCCCCGCATTTATGCGAAATTTCACTTGTAATTATATTATACATGCACACACACACACACACACATACGCACACACACACATACGCACACACACACGCAGAGCGACAGAGCAGCGCACCCCTAACGCCCCAAACAACCTCGCCCTCAGACCACCAATGGAGGCAGAACTCAACTCGAGGGTCACTGCCCCACCCGCCCACTCTTCCTTACCCCCAAAACCACCCGCCCACCCAACCACCCAACAAAGCCACATCATCTATATTGTAAATAGGGTCCAGTTTACTAGACCCTATTTATAATATAGAGACAATCTCTGTGTTGTTTATGTATACTGTTCCACGAGTGGAACAGTATACAATAACAATATTCGACAATCTCTGTGTTGTTTATAGGACAGGCAATCCCAACCCGAAGCCAACCTAACCCCTCGTAATTCCCGGTACCTACCGTCCGCCTTAAGAGCCACACGCACCACCACAAACGTGGGCAAAGCGCCAGCATCCCCGGCCGCAGCCGCAGCTGCCTCAACCGCTGCCACTCCCAGCGGCAGCTCTGGCTGCAGCTCCCTGCCGGCCGCCAGAACCCTCTCCCAGGGCGCCGTGAAGCCCTCGAGGCGGTTCAGGGATGCCGCTGGCTGCCAGCCTAGGGCGGCGGTGCTTTCAGCGAGGAGGTCGGCCACGGTGGGGCGGGTTTTGGGGGCGGTGGCAGCGTCCGGGGAGTGAAACCCGCTGTCGGGGAGGTCCAGTTCGATGGGCGGTAAGCACTGCGCGACGATTTGGATATTGGGGGGAAAGGAGAGCAGAGCAGCCAAGGTGCCCGCTGTGGGAAGAGCTGGGGTGTGAGGGGATGAGGTGGATGTCTGGGTGGCCAGGCGGGTAGAAAGATGAAGGCCAGGGGAGTGTGCCAGGGGAAACACACATACATACATAGACACACAGGCGCACTGTCCGATGGGGCCCTTTCGCGTGTCCTCTCCTGCTCGCATAGCACACAGGCACCCGCGCGGCTCAGCCTATCTTGCAACATACACACACAGACACACACACAGACACACACACACACACACACACACACAGACACACACAGACACACACACACAGACACACACACAGACACACACACAGACACACACACACACAGAGACACACACACAGACACACACACACAGACACACACACACACACAGACACACGGATGCGCATGTGTCAATATGTGCCAGGGACACACTCGCCTTCGTATCCGTCAGCATGCTCTCCTTCCAGTAAAGCGACCAGTTCTCGACCTGCGGGGGATGTGCGGAGCATGAGCATCTGGTTATGCTTGGCCACGTCCGTCTAGAAAACGTCAGGGAAGCATCGAACATCAAGGGAACCGGTAACCCGGCCATGTTTGCCGTTGGTTGTTTGGAAGCAATAGCGACACCCAAGAGGTGATCGCCTGAGTAAACGGAACCCTAAAACCTATCCAGGGGCTGGGTAGTGGCGTGTATGGCAGAGTGTACGAGACAATGTGCCGTACTGATCAGCGTTCAGCGCTCAAAATGAAATAACTGAAAAATAATTTGACTGGTATGCAAATATAAAATGGGTAATTGGATGTTTCGTCAGCGGGGATGGTCCAAGTAGTTCTTGTCTTGGGGGCCTTCCGTGCGAACTGATTAGGTTGGGCCTCTGCTAGCTCGTATGGGCTCAGCTGGGTAACGCAACCGAGGTGTAACACACATACACACACAAATACTTCTGCGCGAAGACATTTTATGTTCCGCGATCCGCCTTCTCACTTCTCACTCAACAAACATGCACCACATGGAGTTCTTCCCATGTGGGCATGTACGACGGGTACGGCAGTGTCTCGTTACCTGGAGACGGGGCAGAACGCGGACTTTCATCTCCCCGCTCTACGGGAGCTCTTTGCTCTGAGTCACAATTTGGCGGCGGCGTCGCTGCTGCTGCTCCTCCTCCCTGTCTCTCGCCCTCGTCCTCTCCTCCTCTTTTTTTTCTCTTCCCGGCCGCGGAAGTGGAGAAGTGACATGGCATGGGCAGCAACGAGAGGTACACGGCACAACCACATTTTTAGGAAACCCACACAAGCTTACACTTTCTCCCGGCCGCCGGCATACATCGTGAATCTTCATAAGGTATTCTTACCGTTGCTAAGCTCTTCTCACATTCGTACACGTACACATCCAAACAGAGACACGCACATGCATGCAAACATGTATACAGAACATTTAATAAATCAGTTGTTCGCCACCTGGTCCTGCACACCTGGGTCCTGCAGTTGCCCGCGGGTTGCGGATTGTTGTGTTGTGGGTTGTTGCGCCGATGGTTCGAGCAAGGTAAAAATCTTTTCCTTCTGCCTAGCTTCTAAACCCACTGCGAAATGCACTCAAAGTGATTTAACTAACCTAAACTAACGGCTTGCGGTGTGTACGGCCTGTACGGCGGCGTGCGTTCTCGGTCGTGTGTCTAGGAGGGGCAGCTGCCGCAGAACTTTTGGGGCCCGTCCAAGACAGGAGGGCACGAGAGCTTTCCGCTGCCTTTATGTTGCCCGTTTGCTCACGTCTTGGTGAGTTCGTTAGCCGTTTAGTTGGCCATTTTCTTGGCCGTTTTGTCGGCCGGTCTGTGGTGAAGAGATCGTTACAAACAGAGGATCTGGATCGGGTCGAGTGCAGCGCTACAAGGAGCGCCTCCCTAGCACACAACAACGACTGCAGCCGGTAACGACCTGTTCGCAGATGAACTTGTCAGCAGTCTATTGCCGTTTCCATGTGCTTCTCAAAAAAAGCTTTGTTGTTGGGGAGAAGCGGCCTTTCGCCTTCCACCTTCAACAGCAGTCGCAGCCGAAGAACTGTAAACGAATCTTACATATGTAAACTCATAGATTTGCGCTGCTCGTAGTAAGGATAAGAGTAAACGTGCACGGCTTTTAGCTGCAATGCCGCGTTACGCGCAACCGATCTCTATTTTACTGGGTGTCCCGACTAGGACTCGATGGCGTTTTTGTGCGTTTTTGTGTTGTTAGCTGACGAATACAACGATATTGCTTGAAGAGGCACTCGTGCTGACAATCTCAGACACGCACTCCCTGACCCAAAGGAAGTGAAAACGTAACGTGACGTTACCCGATACCGCTGGGCTGTTACCATCAATAGTGAAGCACCTTGACAACGATGCTGTCCTCGCTGATTTATTCGTATTGAGAATAAATCTCGGGAAATTATCATATCAATTTTGTGATATACTAAGATTCTTGCTCACCAGTATAGTGCCCACAAATATACAAGGACGCTAAACTTTGCCCGTGATACGGTATTACGATACCGTACAAGACGAAGCGAACAGCTAAAAATGCGGCGCCAACGACGTTATAGCTTGAACGTTTAGGACTTGTGTGATTCCATGGCAGCGGGGATGCGAGGTTTAGGTGACAGCGTTGGCCTTCAAGAATAATTTCCGTATGGATTCTGTTCCTGCAGGGTGCGCCCTTTAACCTTGCTAGGCATCCTTTCCAGTACGAGTACATAGTATAAGTCGATTTTAAGTGTGAAATTGCGCCATGCCACTCTGTGAGGGAATAGTCAGCGGTGCATGGTGCCGTCTATTGCAATCCGTACTGTGGCAAGCATGATGGCTTTCTGCCACAAGACATTACATTTTTAACCGCTAACTTGAAGAAGGAAGAGACGCAGTATTGCTTAAAAACTAAAACTGCAGAAACCTCAGTATTTGCCCCATGTCGGTTATAATTAGTCAATAGCTAGGCAGCAAAAGCTTTCTATAAGTTATGGAAAGCGTTTTTTGCTGCTTCCGGAGCAAATTTGTCCCGCTGGTGGAGTTTGGGCAGGGATGCTCCTCGTCGCAAGGAGCCCAGGTGTGCTGAATGGGCTGCGCTAAGCAATAAAGTTCTCTACGTTTCTTACCATTACATCATATCATTTTATAGATGATCTATGGTGCTGTGCGCTGCAGTCGCAGGACTTTCTTGACGTGTTGCAAGACGCAAACAAAGCGGCAGACTGGAAAGGCGGTGGATATGACTGGATGCAACGCTGCATGTTGCAGTTGGATGTCGCGTCCCGTCTTCTTCATGCTTCCATTAGGTAGGCATATGGAAGCGAAATTATTCTTAAGTACATGCATGACAAATCGGAATGCACATACCTTCATTATAGGAATGTGCTACCCTAACGCACGATGCCTCTTGACTCTCATTGCAGACTTTACATATCTAGGGAGGATGGCAAGTATGAGCTTCTACTTGTCAGCACCTCCGGCGTCCAGAGCGCTGCTCTGCCTGGTCCAGCCGTTGAATGCCGCGGCGACAACCCAATCACATTAAAACCGGCTGCGATGCCCGAGGGCAAAGGAATATCTGCCAGGAGGAATCAAACAGCAAATCAACTGGACATCGACAGCTCATTTTTCGAGCTCAAGTGCAACGATGCAAAACGGGGGTCGAGAGTACAGTATCTTTCCTCTGGTAACGCGAACGCCAAGTCAATTGCACTCGTGCCGCTTTCCAGCGGCGCAGATCGCATTGGTTTGTTGATGTTGACACCCGAAGGCCACTCGAAGCGGCGTCCAGCAGGCGCAAATGCTCCAGGGAACGGTCACATACGGGCAACAGAAGATGAGCAAGGGAACAACGATTCCTCGAGCGATTTTCTTCGGCGCCGCGAGCAACAGCTCGGTCGACTAGGCATAGCCCTGTCGTTAGCCCTTACCCCAGATCTGCCCTCCCTGCGCTGCCTCGCAAACTCCCTGGGGAGGCTCTCCGCAGCCGCCAGCCTACGTGAGACCCTCGCGGAATTATGCGATGTGGTGTCGTACCATGTACGACAGCGATTCCTGCTGGAACCTGTCGTACGTGCGGCGCTCGTGGCGGACGCTGATGCCACGACAGCATTCATGTTGGGCCTGTCGGGTGCACCGTACGGCTGCCACTACTCGCCGAGCCGCCACGTCGGCCAGCCGCCAACACCGCATCAGGCACCGCAACAATTACCAATGCCCCTGACACCCCCATCGCAGTCGCTGCAGCAGCAACCATTCCCGCCGCTACTACCGACGCCGCAGCAGGAGCGGCAGCAGGGCCTTGCGTCTATCCCCGATGATGCGCCGCCGAATGCCCTGCCAACCTTTCTTCTCCGAGACCTCACCACCACACCCTGGTGGGGTCTTGGGTCGGGGGTTCACTGGCGCGGGGGGTCCGTGGCTATGTGCACGCCATGCAACCTGACTGACATCAACAGTGGCATATTCCATGTTTTTACTGCAGCATTGAGGAAAGCGCTCGCCGTACCCCTCCGCCATTCCTAGCTAGCACCCTACCTCACGCACTGCGCCAAAGCACCCTCTCATCCCTTTCCCCTCATCCCCCGCTGCTTTCGGACAGGGACCCCACATCACAAAACACACCTCCCAAGTCCAGCACTGAAACTGGGGGAGACACACATGCGGCCTCTGGCCCTACCTCCATTGCTCATGGCGTCGCTACTGTTCCCCAACCCAGCAGTGGAAGATCACCGCCACCACTTCCGCAGGGGTGTAGCAGCGAAGCTGAGGCTTCGGTGTTGGGGTTTGAGGGGTTTCCCCCGGAGTGCAGCGACACAGCCGCTGCCGCCGTCAGGGATCTGCAGCCGCAGTTGTTGCATCAGCATCATCAGCATCATCAGCATCATCAGCCGCTGAGGCTCCTGAGCCCCGGATGTGTGGCGACGGCCTGTGAGGCGGCGGGGGGGTCCTTGGTTGCCCGTCCCTTCCAGTTGTCGTACAGCCTGCTGCTGCGACTGCAGATGCAGCAGCCGCGGATGTACGGCATTGCGGTGCAGGACTGCGCTCGGTTTGTGCAGGTGAGTTAGTGCAGAGGACTTGGCAGGATGGGAGAAAAAAAGCAAAACATAAAGTGTGTGCTACACAAACGTGTGTCTCCTAGGGTCCGTAGCTGTGGGTGGGTGGGTGGGTGGGTGTTATAGGACTGAGTAGAAGTGCAACGAAAAGAAGTAGAAGAGAGGGAGGGACCTCTTACGGTGACAAGAGACTATCTTGTTAACACCTAGTAACAAAGAAATCTCCGACGAACCCAGGCTCCTACCTACCCTATAGGCTATATAGGAGCCCAGGAAATAACCGCCACCGCCACCACAGGAGGATCGTCGCCACCCCAAGCCGCAACCCCCGGGCCCCTTTTCACTTTTTACTTTTCAGGACGTGAACCAGCCTTCCCGAGACGTCTGTCTGCTCATGGGATCCTCCAGTTCATTGCCTCCTGTATCCCAACTGGCCAGCGTTCCAGCTGATTCATCTGGCCAGCCGGGGTCCTTGTACGGCTGTAGAAGCTGTACGGAGCCCACTGCTGCAGCCGCAGCAGCAGCTGCTGGCTACGGCAACGGCGGCGCCGTCAAGTCCTTGGTGCTTGTGGGTATCGATGCCGGCGACGGCGTGACTCTGGGTTTCTACGTGTGCTTACCCCACCGTCTTCCGGGGCAGCTGGTGGAGGCGGTGAAGGACAGCTGCCAAAACCTGCTGAACAGAGTGAGTAATGCCGTACATATCTGTATGTCTGTTGTGTATTTATCTCTATAATAATTATGTGTGGGAAACAGGTTGGGGCATTCGTAGAATTCAAGTTATAAGGAAGGACTCGAGGGGCATGCATTGATGAACCCCCTAAGGAAAATCCAAAATGCATCTTCAAAGTAAGGGCCCTGCGATATATTAACAGGATAGGAACCAACGTTTTCTGGTCCTGCTAGCACGTCATGCCGGGCGATCAAGTACAAGCAGAATGTACTCATGGACTATGTCCGTGGCCATCCCCCATAGCCAATAACATAATGCCCTGCGCGCGAACCCCGTCCCATCATTTTTTTATCCGGCTTTGCTTTGGCTTTGCCTGTCGCGATGTCTGTTTTACCAGTTTCCAGCCGTTGTGCCGCGCTCTCCGGCAAATGTTCAATTATGATGTACAAAGGTGAAAAAAGGTAAAAATACCCCCCAAGTCAATACGCCATGCCCCACGCTCCTAAACACAGCCCAGCACGTTCCCCCTACTCCTTCCAATTACCATGCCTTTCGCTCTTCATCTTTTTCCCCCTCCCTCTCTCCCCCTCTCCCTCTATCTTCACATTTATAAGGTGCTGTGCCGGGCTGTTGTTCCCAAAATGACCTCGGGCGACTTCTCCAGCGAACTGGGAACGCTGCGGCGGGGCGCGCCAGGCGCTTTCGCTATCGTACAGCCGCCGTACAGTGGGATGGGGAGTCACCTCAGCGTTGCCGCCGTCACTAGTGGCGGCGGCACTGTCGCTGGCGTCAGCAGTGGCGTCAGCGGCGGTGGTGATGGTGGCGGTGGTGGTGGCGTCGGTGGCCCGTATCCCAGTAGTAGTCGGGAGCCTGCTACAGTCGACGTTGGCACGGGCACGATTATGAGTAGTTCAGCTCTAGGCAGTGATTTGACGTCCGGCGACCACCGTACCGCGACCAGCACTACCATCGGCACCAGCATTATCTCCCCCCAGCCGCTGCCAGTGGTATCGTCCACTGCCGGCGCCGGCGGCGGCGGCGGTGGTGGCGGCAGCGGTTCTTATGCCGGCGCCAGCCTGGCTGATAGCGCCCCGCCGGGTGGCGCTGTACTGCATAAACCTACGCGCGCAAAGCCATTTGCCAGCTCCCCCGCGACCCGGTCCCTACTGGCGCCCCTGGAGCCCCTGGACGGCAGTGGAGGCGGAGGCGGGCGACGCGGTGGCAGCGGTGAAGGTGCTGTCAGCCTGGGTGGTGGCGGCATAGGCTCCTCGCCCGATATGCCGTTTCATAACCTCTCCATCTCATCGCGTTCGCGGTCAGCCACCATCATACGGAGGTGCTTCCGTACGGTCATTGGCCTGACCGGTGGCGACGTCAGCTGCGGTGGTGGCGGCGGTGGTGGCGGCAGCGGTTCTTATGCCGGCGCCAGCCTGGCTGATAGCGCCCCGCCGGGTGGCGCTGTACTGCATAAACCTACGCGCGCAAAGCCATTTGCCAGCTCCCCCGCGACCCGGTCCCTACTGGCGCCCCTGGAGCCCCTGGACGGCAGTGGAGGCGGAGGCGGGCGACGCGGTGGCAGCGGTGAAGGTGCTGTCAGCCTGGGTGGTGGCGGCATAGGCTCCTCGCCCGATATGCCGTTTCATAACCTCTCCATCTCATCGCGTTCGCGGTCAGCCACCATCATACGGAGGTGCTTCCGTACGGTCATTGGCCTGACCGGTGGCGACGTCAGCTGCGGTGGTGGCGGCGGTGGTGGCGGCGGTGGTGGTGGTGGTAGCGGTGGTGGTGGCGTCGCCTTGGCGGCGGCGGCGGCGGCGACGGCCAGGACCCCTAGCGACCGGCAAAAGATGCCGGTGGGCGACGGACGCGTGCCGAACACAACCCACAATGCGCACGAATTCGCCTTTCTGCCGTACCGCAGCCCTAACGTGGACGCGTCGTTATGCGATGGCGGCAGCGCCTCCGCCGGCGACTTGTTGGTGCAAATGACGGCGACGGAGACGGCGGCGGCGGCGGCGGCGGCAGGGGTGCATGCAAACACCGCTGCTGATACGGACCTCTTTCGGGACTTGCTAACCAGCAGACAATTCGCCAGCGGACCGCAGCCGGTGGTGGCATCAGATCAACAAGCTGAAGTCATCCGCCGCGCCGCATCAGTGATTGTCATATGCGACGTCGGGACGGAGCCGCTTAGCAGCTGCCAACAGCAGCTAGGTGCTCTGGTAACTAGTGTACGGGACAGCATCACGACTGCCGCCGCCAATGCCGCAAATGCCGCCGCCGCCGCCATGGCTGCTGCCGCTGTCGGGGGCGGTGCCTTTCTCTCCTTGCCGGATACGGCATCGCGGCCTTTACAGAGCGTGGCGGCGCATTTGCGTGGCGGCGCCGACGGCGCCGGCAGTACGGCGACCCCGGTTATTGCTGACGGCTGCAACGCTTTGGTGGGGGTCACCAGGTACGGAATGCGATGTACGAGACCTTGACGTTGTACAGACACACATACACAGATAAATGTCAGGTTGGGGGGGCAACAAGGCGTGTCGGAGAGAGAGGGAGAGAAGAAGGTGAAAAGAAAAGAGTGAGGGGGAGAGAGGGAAAGAAGAAGGGAGAGAGGGAGAGAGAGAGGGGGAGTGAGGGGGAGAGAGGGAGAGAGAGAGAGTAGTCAGAGGCCCGGAGCTGCCTTAAAAGTGCAAAAGTGTGAGGTTATTTTAACAGACTAGAAAAAGCCTCAGGGAGACGGCTGCGTCCACCGGGCCCTGTTCCCCTCTGCAGGCATACAGCTCCTGGCTATCAAGGTGGTTGGGGCCACAGCCACACCACCGGCATTACAAGTGCTGCTGCTACGGGTGCCGCCACTGCTACTGCCGCTGCCATTGCTGCCGGATTTGGTCTCGGAGCCGCCCCAGCTGGCAGAACCGCCACTACCACCACTACCATCACTTCCCCGGCGGCGTTATTGCCACCCTCACAACCACCCCACCAACAAATGTCAATGTACGGCATTGATTCTGAGGATGCTGACGTGGCGGATCTCCAGCTGGTGGCCAAGTTGGGGCAAGGGGGCGGCGGGTCTGTGTTTCTGGGCCAGATGGCGGGTGGGCTGGAAGTGACGGTTAAATTGCTGGAGCTTCCCTCCGGGTTTAACGTCGAGGACTTTGTTGACCAGCTTTTGGCGTGGCCGGCGGCGGAACCTCGGCAGCAAGCGCGCTGTGGCGGCATGTTGCGGGAAAACTTCAACCTTCAACGGCATGCAACAGCTGCGGCTGCTACGGCTGCTGGTTTCGGAGGATCAGTCGGAACTTTACCTAAGGGCATAAGAGCTGGAGGAGCAGCACCAGCACTCGGAGTGTCAAGTAGTGGTAACACGAATTTTGGTGCCGTACTGGCAGCGGAGGCTGTACGGCAACAAGTCCGTGCACAACGGTCGCTGTTGCAGAGCGCTACGGAGCTTGCAATGCTGACGTCCATAAGCCATCCAAACATCGTACAGGTGAGTGAGAGAACGAAAAATGGCGTGATAGGGTAGATGTTGGAAAATAATAGGTGTTGAGTGCTTGTTGGTTGCTGTTGGGCAACGTTCGGAACATCGGAATATGTGAGTGTACATGGCACCGGGTTGTTGCATGCCTGCCACCAACCTCGCGGACCTGTACTGCAGGTGTACGGCACCTACAACAATGTGGTTCTGGTGACTTGTACGACACCCGATGGCGGGACGCCTGTGTATCAGTTACGGCACCACTGGGAGGTACTGCAAGAAGAAAAGCTGATGGGGCCATCATGTGAATCCAGCACGGGCACTGTGTACGACAATACACGCGCTGGTAAGCGTGCTCGCTGACGTGGCGAAGGGAAAGTCAGGGATGCCATCATGCCACCGGGGGAACGGGAAATGAGGTGAAACGGGAAAACGTTGGTCCGGGATTAGAAGAGGGGAAGGTGGGAAGGGCGGTAGGAGGCAAGACGACCAAGCCATGTCCTCATCCTTTTTTTCACATCACACAACAACCTAGGGCACGAGGCATAAAGACAAAAATGCGTGAACTCCACGCTGGGGCTGGGGGGCTGAAGCGCAGGGTTTCAGGTAGGGCTATATTAGCTTGTCCTGGCCAGCTGCAATTGTCCTGTCAGGTTGCCTAGCAGCACCGTGCGGGTACCCCTCCACCTCCATCTAAGAATCCCTCTTCAGTTTTCGACTGTTTGTATCCATATCCACTTCCACTTCACTTCCACTTCACTTCCACTCCACTTCACTTCCAGTTCACTTCCACGTCCACTTCACGTCCACGTCCACTTCCTGGGTGAACCTATTGGCTGTTCCTGTCCGCAGAGTACTCGCGAGTGTGCAGCGCCGTATGCATGACGTTCTGCGATCTGGGATCCCTGTACACGGCGCTCACTCAGGGGGCCTTCCCAAACCGGATGGGAGCGGTAGCAGCCACGGAGGCAATGACCCACGGGTCGGATCAGCGTGTCATGGCGGTGACGTCAGCAGCGCTCCCGGCGATGTCATCCGCGGCCGTGACGGCGGTGAATCCAAACATCTCGGAAGACTCTGGAGTCCACATTCTCGCGCACATGAGGGTGAGAGGGGCAGGGGGGTTGAGTTATCAACCACACGGGAAACGGAGTTTCAGTTCTTTCAAGACCCGAAACGCAAAAAACACAACTGCCGTACACACACGCACACACAACACCGCCATCGTCAGCACTTCTTAATATTTGTGTTGTGAAGCAATTATGACATACATACACACATACACAGAAACAACACACGAAAACACATATACACTTGCTCTCGAGGAGGAATTGGGGTATGGCACCCGGGTGTGAGTCCCCTTCGGTTCCCCTAAAGAAGAGACGAACTAAAGAAGGGAGTGAATTAACCCTCCTTTGGCGTGCCTTTCTTGTCTGGTCGCCGCATAAAGAGTGCCTGCTGCATTAATATTCTTGACTTACGACTTTACATCAACATTGCCAACATTGTGCAGTTGCAGTGTCCCGCCCCTCATTCTCTGAATCTGTTAGGAACAATTACCGCACTGGACAGTCCAGACTAGGCCATTCCTCCGACAGCCAAGTGGCACCTCATCCTGCCCTTATCCCTTATCCCTCCCTAGAGCCCTACAATGGGCCCCCTTCCCTCTGGTCCTCCTCGCTCTCCACCTACCGTGCCCGCCATGTCCAGACACCCCAACACACACCTCCAGACCTGACAGGTCCCCCTTGCGCGCCTCCCACCGGCGCCCTTTTCCTGTCCTGCCGTACAGTCCGTGTACTTGACTCTTCTGGAGGTGGCTCTGGCACTGAGGTATCTCCACGGCAGAAACATACTGCACAGAGGTGCGGGGGAGTGGGTGGACGCAGGAGGGGGAAAAAGGGGTGGAGGGCGTGTGTGGGTATGTGTGTATTGGTGTGTTGGGGGGAAGGGAGGGGGAGGGAGAGTTACGGGGAAGGAAGGTGTGGAGGGGGGAGGAGAGGTTGCACGCCTCCAAGAGCTCAACCCAGTGATGCTGGGTGCCGTATGGCCCCTCGGTTTACCTTCTCACAAACTGGGTTGACCTAGTCCATACTGCATGCCGGCTTCCCTGGAGCCGGGGGCCCCCGTTGGGTACTACTTCCTACCCGCACTTGCGAAATGGATTTCACCTCACCTCGGCCCCCCCGCTTGGGCCACGAGACCCCGGCAACTCTCCTCCTGGTTCCGAAACCCCCGGCTCGCTTACACCCAAGCCCACACCTAAGCTCCGGGTGGGTCGCGCCCTGGGGCCCGTTCCCCCCTGCCTCATCCTCTTTCCAAAACTCTCCCCCCGGCCCCGCACACCCACCCGCACACGCGGGGCCCCGTTGCCCCCAATCCACAACTCCTTAAAACCAATTAAAACCCTAAAACCCGCTCTAAATTCCCCCACCTAACAGACCTCAAGCCCGGAAACATCCTGCTCAAGTCCCGCAACCCCACGCGGGGCGACCCCCGGGGCTTCACCACCAAGCTCGCGGACTTTGGACTCGCGCTGGTGATGATGGAGGAAGAGAAGGACGATAAGGACAGCGTGCACCGCCACCAGCAATCCGTACACCGCCGCCAGCAGCACCCCCAGCAGCACTGCTATCACCGTCAACAGTCAATGCCGGCAGAAGGGGGAGGCGGAGGAGGAGGAGGAGGAGGAGGACTGGGATTCGTTCCCACTGGCTCTTGCCTAGGGCCTCGTGGGCCCCTTGCCAACACCGGCAGGCGTTACGCCGTACAAGACCAGGCTTGCGGCACGTGAGTACGTACGGCGTTGACCAACATTTCGCTGCTACCCAACTCCAATATCGTTTCTTTCAGGCTTATCTTAAAGGCTATTAACATAATTTTGTACCGACGTCCTCGGCAATAAAGGATATAAAGAGGAAGTCAGCACTGCCCATGTTTTGTATGGAGGTCATGCCATGCTGGGAAAGAGCCAGCTTTTCCTATTCCTATGGTCATGAGAGTGAAACTGAGGGGCCCGAAGGCTGTCCGAAATAGGTTGTCGAAGGGGGGGGCATGGGGGGGGGTACTTGGACGGATAATACCCCTCTTAAAGATCAAGAGGGAGGTAGACGCCAAGGGGGGGTTGCTGTGCTGCCGCGGCCGCAGTCGCAGCCGGCGCTGCTACCCCCTTACAACCTCGTGAGGCAACGGCCAATCACCCAACACCTAACGGTCAACTCCCAACTCCCAACTCCCAACTCCTGCGTGCGCCCACCAGAGTGGACCACATGTCCCCCGAGGCCTTACGTGGCAACGGTAAGATAATAGGATGCGTGGTTGGTGATTGCTGTTGGTGGTTGGTTGGTTACACACCGTTATGCTAAGGGAGAGGCAATTGCACATGGAGGCCGGCCTCCGCCTCCCTCGCAGCCCTTTCCAATACCACCTCCTCCTCCACCGCATAAAACCCCCCCGCAAACCCCACACCTGCTCACCATCTTCCCGCTGTTCCGCATGCACTTTCGTACGTGCATACATACGTGCATACATGCATACGTAACGTCGCCCTTCCGTATTTACCCTCCAGTTACCCAACCATTTTGCCATGCCGCCCTCCGTTATCAAGGCGGCAGCCCCTCACCCTCCCTCATTGTTATTGCTGTTATTGCTGTTATTGTTGTTGTTGCCATTGTTGTTAGGCTCCCGTCTCACTGCCGCTTCGGACGTGTACAGCTTCGGTGTGGTGATGCTGGAGGTGGTGACTGGGGCCCGGCGGCCATTCGGGACCCTGCCCTCGGACCGCATAAGCCGGCTGGTAATGGCGGGAACACGACCGCTTTTTCCCGCCTGGGTGCCAGCGCAATACAGGTGATAAGAGTGTGTCTACGAATGTATGTATGTATGTAGGTAGGTGCGTATGTGTGTACGGATGTATGTATGAAAGAGCGCGCTTTTTATTATGCGTTTGTGTGAGTGTGTAAGGGGCCTGCTGGGTAGTGCTAGCCTGTACGGCCGTACACATTGGACGAAGCACGTGGACCGCGCGCACGGCCGGCACATAATCCAGTCACACGTGATACCATGTTCCTTTCCCAGTAGTACATACCGCGAGGAAAGAGAGGAAAGAGAGGAAAGAGAGGAAAGAGAGGAAAGAGAGGAAAGAGAGGAAAGAAGGCATCGCGACATGCAGCATGCACATATACAACACAATTTTTATATCTCCGTCGTTAAGTGCGCCACAGCAGCTTGCCGGCGCACATGCACATGCGCTCGCCCTCGGGGAGGCCAACCAAATCCTCCTCCTGGTTCCTTTTCACCATACATACATCATCCGCCGCCCCCGTCCCCGTCTCGTTGCCGCCTCTCCTTGACGTCCCGAGAACCCCTTTCCTAAATCCTAAACCCCCCTTACGCACCCCCCTACCACTTACTCCTACTACTCCCCTTACTTTACCTTCCCCCCCCTTCGCAATACATTAGGTCCCTGGCCGAGTCATGCTGGTCTCATAACCCGCATTTGCGGCCCAGCGCGGCCCAGCTGGTGGTGGCCATCAGGGACCAACTGAACAACAACTACCCGCCACAACCGCCACAACAGCCACAACAACAACCGCAGCCACCACCATCAACAGCCGCAAATGTGGCGGTAGCAGCGACAAAGACATCGCGAGCATTGGCAAAGCCAGGAGGAGGAGTCAGTAATTAAAATCAGGCAACGTAACAGCAGGGATTAACGGGGGCTGAACGGGCGGGTCGTCCCGGCAAGGCCCTGAAGATTAAAAGCTTCTGCTAGAGGTGCTAGGAGCTATATTTAGGTATCAGGATGCATGGGGCACCCTGAAGAAGACAGGTCTTTCTGCGCACTAACGCCCGTCAGTCGCTTTTGGACACCTGTACGGGGGGGGAAGGGGGGAGGGGGGTGCGGCAGGATCCGAAGGTTCCAAGGTCCGAAGGTCCGGAGATTTTCTTTCCTTAGTTGGCAACTCGCTTCGTTTGCTTCGGATTGCTGGCGGCAGAAGAACGGTGTCGCCAATCATCACAGTCCGCGCAGAACTCTCTTATAAGGCTGGGCGGTTGGACAGCGAATCCGTCCAGGTAAAGCACAAAGACAGGGTAGCGCCTTGTACGGCGCTCATGTTCGGCATGCACCTGCAAGACGACCAATAAATACATGGAATGGAGGGAGGGAGGGAAGGAGGGAGGGAAACCTTTCCAGGACATAGGATTTACTGCTGAACATTGTACTGCACATGTACTGCATTTATGTGCCCTCTGGCAAAGTAAGATGCATGTGGGGGGTGTGGAGTTAACCACAAACCCACAGGACTGTACACAGTGCCAGGGTGGACGACTGTGCGACGCGAGCACGCAAGCCGAGATCCATTGCTAGTGCGAGGAAGAGGCGAAGAGTGTTTACATTAATACATTAAAATTGGCTTTGGAGGCGTACTCCTCCGTGATCCGTTGACGCTGCCTGTGGCTGGCTGGATCGGCTTGGGAAGGTGTGTAATCGACGTGGCTTTTGGGAAGGTGTGCAGCCGACGTGGCTTGGAAGGGTGTCGGCCACTCGTGTTGGCCATTCATTGGGGATGAGGTGGCCGCTGCCTAGGAAAGCCAGATGGCGGGTGCGTGAGGAAGAATTATTGCTTGCCTGGATACGATGGCCGCCCACGCACATCGGATGGTGGTAGGGTTTGGTTGGTGGTAATAATGATGCATGGCTTCTGGCTGCATTGAGAAGATGTCTGGGTGGATATGGCTATGGCGACGAGGGGAGGTTGTTTTGTATGTTGGGGTCGACGCACTGCTTGCTATTAACCAGCAGCACTGCTAGATATTTACATAACTGATTTGGGCTGCTTAAGAAGGAAAGGTCTAATTAAGCTATATGGGGAGTAAGAAGAAGATATGATGAGGCAAGATGATGAGGCAAGAGAAATGGAGTGCGCCGTGGCGACACTGATGGTGGTGGAAAGGAGGGGTGAGGTGATCTATATGCTACTGTTACTGTATATTCGTACAGTTCATCGTACAGAGCATAAATGCTATATAGCATTAACCATGTACCGAGTACGTACATATAGCAGCCGCAGCACTGCAAAGCAAGGTTTATGTACACTACCGGGGTGTACAGTGTGCGAGCCGTCGTGCAGCTGATATGTCCGTGGAGGGTGGGGACCATACTTCGTTCTGAGCTCCCAAGCGAGGCCGGTGGGTTCCACGTCTCACCGCCCAAGGCCCAACTTTCTTGGGGGAAGTTGCTAATTAGTTGAGATTTGGTTAGCGGTTGACTGAGCGATGGCGTGCTTTGTGGCGGATGGAAATCCATCGAGGAGGTCCATGCATATATGGCTTTGCTGTGTCTGTGTGTCTGCATATGGCCTCCATGCATATTCACGCATCTCTTTCTTCATCATTCATGCTCCATCCGCCGTTCCTTTTCCTTTCTATCTCCGGTTTCCTGTTTTCCTTTGCAAGCCAAATCGTACCTAGCTTTGCGTGTGTGCACCGGCGATGCTGTTGGAGATGTTGTGATCACTTTCCATGTCACTGAATGGAAGCATTATAACCGTGACCTTACAGGGGTGATTGTCGCACCTGATAGGTGATGTAGCCCTAATTATATCTGGAGTTACGACTGGAGAATTTATCTGATGGAACAAGCGCCCGGTGATATATAGCGCTTACTTGCACGTTACCTTGCTTACTTTAAAGCAAATCTTTTTATAATTCATAAAAATCTGACTCCAGATAATTCTCTTGTCATTGACAAGATACTTTTAAGGTTGGGCGTGCACTGCATGTCATCTGCAGATTTTGCCGCTCGGCCCGGTTCTGATCTTGTACGGCCTGAGATGATGTATATGCTGATGGTCCTGCATAATTTGTATGTATATCATGTCTATTAATCTATGTAAAGTGCTGCTAGAGCGTGTGATATGTGTGCGTGTGTTACATGGGGTTGCGTGACCCCAAATACCTGTAAAACTACCCATACAAGCTGAAGGCCCAAGGGCAAAAGACCTGAACGTCTAAAAGCCACGAAAAAGGAAATACCGCATGCGGAGCGGGATAAATGAGCGAAAGGATGGATCTTATTACAGTGGACCAGCCGGGCTTAAAACTAGAGATCCAGACCAGCCGCTACCCCCCTTAACATGAATTGTGTTCTGCGTAGAGACCATCCAGCAACGTCGATATGTCGGGAAATGCCTCCTCTGACCTTTTAAGCAAGTTTTTAGTCTCATTCGTTGTTGGCCGAGGTACCTGCTGTCATATCACGACTTCAAAAAAGTACCAATCGCCGGATGCAGATCCCGTGATAAGCCCTCCGGGATACTACACCTATCCCCCCTCTCGCATTAAAGGGTGTCCTTGACCTAGGTCAACCTTAGTCCACATCAGGGTCCCTGTGTGATGGTGTGTATACCTGTACGGCACTCACAGGATAGCCATGCGGCTAGTAGCGCCGCTGATAATATCGCTGCCCAGTGCCCCTACGGCTTTCCCCGCCCGCGGCTTTCCCCTCCCGCGGCGAGCCGAGCCGCCCAAATCAATAACCGTGGCCTCCGCCTCCTCGATACGCGTTTTCCTGGTTTTCCAGCCACCACCGATAGGCAGGTAGGTAGATGGGTGACCATGCAAGCTAACCCGCTACATGACCGATACATATTTGCAGAACATTCTAGCGGCTAACAAATTCTAGGGACTGACCCGTGGGTCAGTTCAGGACTTGCCGTGACCCACGCACACGGGGGCATCTATATTATGTACGTATTCGCTGCACAGGGCACCTGCCGTGACAGTCGCCATTCCTCCAACAGCATCAACAGGAGCAGTATTAGTAGCTACGGATTGACGCACGGTTCCCGTTGTCAGTTGCCGTACGGCCGTACTCCCAACCACATGCCGCCCTTGACACGTATGACTACGGATTGCACCAAATCCAGGGAAGAGGCCGCGGCGGATTTCTTCCCTAGATCCAGATTCGGATCCAGATTCGAACCCCATTTTGGATCTGGAACCAGCTCCAGGGAGGAGAGCAGCGCCGCCAGAGTCATCTTGGGCATCAGGAACCATGGAGAGCGAGTGCGCCGGCGGACGAAACAGGGACGGGAGAACAGAATTAGTTGACGGTTATTGCTGGCGGGAAGTTGTTAGGAATATAGTTGTTAGCTTTTGGTGGGAAAGAGGCTACGAGAGGGAAAACTGTTAAGGGAAGCCAGTGGCTGATGTTCGTGGGAAGGCAAAGCAATAGAAATGAAAGGAGGGGCGATCTCCGGGAAGGTGGTCACCGTGAAGGTTCCCTTGAGCTCCTTGTTCCTTGCCGTACACATGTAAGCACGTGCATGGCGTACACAGATATGCACACACAACAGTAGGTAAACACATTCCAGGATATTGCCGTACAACCCCGCGTAGACGTCCTTCCAGTTGCACCTTCACGCGCACGAAATGGCCATCTAAAAAACGCACACAGACACATACACGCACACGCATGCACACATACATACACACGCACACACATGCACGCGCGCACACACACCGTCGCCAAGACGCACATGCACGCATGCGCATAAATATTGCACATACATACACCCGGGGAAACGGGGAAACCCTAAGCAGGTGGCTGGCAGAAGTTAAGGCCTGACTTCTGCTCCCGGAGGTTCCGGGTTCAAATCCGCCTGCCGAACCCGCGATGTGTGAAGGGTGTTAAAATTGGGAGGTGGCCCTCCATCTTGTGGACGGTGAAGGACATGATTATAGCAATTTGCGAGCTGGCCAGGAACTTAAGTTGTGGCGCCGTTGATCCGCTAGATTTGGTTGGATGCTGGTGGTGAGTTGCTGAACCCAACGAATACATTTTGAAGTCGGATGGGGTGAACGGATCAGGGCGCCCCTCTAGCCTGCTAGAGGGTAGAGCAGGGAACTGCCTCGGGAAAGGGGGCCGCAGGTGAAGCTATAACACCCTGTAACAGCATACATACATACATACATACATACACACATACATACAGTTACCTGCATATTCAGCAACGAGAAGTTGCGGCCGATGCAGCCCCGAGGGCCCACACCGAAAGGCAGGAAGGCATTGGGCTGCGGGGCGTGAGGTGAGGTGAGGTGAGGTGAGGTGAGGTGAGGTGAGGTGAGGTGAGGTGAGGTGAGGTGAGGTGAGGTGAGGTGAGGTGAGGGTGAGACGCTCCTGGGGCCCCGATCCTCTGCATCATCATCAGCGGCCTCTCCGTACAGTACAGGTTAGGTACGATGCAAAATTCGCAGATGTTTCTAAGGCGTAGATACAGACACAGACAGACATACACATACACATAACCCACAAATAAACAAAAGGCTGCAGCAATGCCATTTCCCTCTAAACGTTCGCCAAGTCTTACAAAACTCACAAACTGATGCTTTGTCTTTTCCTTGGCACTTCCCCACATGTGCCAAATGTCGGATACGGGCCGCGTACAATGTCACAATATTTGCACCGTTGATGCTGCTAACTAATGTTGTTAACAAGTTATTTATGGCCTCATGCAACGGAAGTAAACTGCCTCGCACCTGCCGTGGCCCCAACTCCTGTGCGGACTGACCCGCGGGCCAGTAGGCGTGCCGCCAGGCTCCCTCACCCATCCAGCGCTGCGGCAACCACTCGTCGGGTCGCGGCCAGATGGCGGGATGGCGGTGCATGGAGTACAGCGACACGACGACTGATGACCCACGGGTCACTTGGTAGCCGCTCAATACGTCGTCCTGCAGTTGGTAGTTCGATGCAGCGGTTGCGGCAGTGTTGTTACTGTGGTGGTTGTGGTGGTGGTTGAGCAATGCCAAGGCCGGAACAGATAGCAATATTGGAAGAAACGCAAAACCCTAAGTAACCAGCAACAGTACAAGTCAAATGATCATATAAAAAGAAGAATAACGGTTGGCTAATGTATTTATACCCTCATGGAAATTTGCCAAACGCATAAAAGTCACTTCATGATCCCATCCGCTCTCTGCATGCCGGTATGTATGTCTGTCCGCCTGCTCGTCCGTCCGCCAGCCTACATTCTTAGGGAACATAGCCTACGTCAAAACACAGCGAGGATGAGCTCCAACGTGCATATGCGTGTATGCATGTCCGTATGTCCGTCTACTAAAAGTACATACACCTATCTGCCACGTGCCCTCTCTGCCTGCATGTAGCCCGCGTGTCCATCTATCTGCCTGTCTGTCGGTTTGTCTGTCTATCTATGTCTGTCCACCTCACTGCCTGCATGTTTGTTTATTGCTCAGTCCTGCTCTGTTGTGTTACAGTAGCTAAGTCACCAGCCGCTAGCTTGGCTGGGTAGGAACAACGGCTTGTGAAACCTCCTTCCCAACACCAACCCATTGTGAAAGTTGCACTAGTAGCCGATAGTAATGATAGGCCGATCCTCCTCAGCAAATGGGGCCCCGCCGGTGGGCGACCGGGCATGCTGATTGTTGGAGGCCGCCTATCCAACACGAGGAAAAAGCTGAATCCTCCCTAGTAGATCGTTTTCCTAATTGGGCATCAGGAAAAAATCTTTCACTGGACGCGCGTGTCTCTGCTACTGAGCGTGGAAAAGCCCCATTCGTAGTTTCCGAGCAGCCATTATCAGCCTGAAGGCAGCAAGAGAGGCTTCTGTGTACCCATTCTAATGAGAAGCATGGCAGTAAGAGAATGTACACGCGCAGTGAAGTTGTGGTGTACGGGTAGCACTGGCGACATGGAGCAGTAGTTAGTGTTAAACCAAAGTGTCATTTGCAGGCGCTCATTCGATCAGTCTGGCATACAGGTGGGCATGCATGCGATGGCAACCTGTAAGAGATTCATGTGTGCAAGCTGGGTAGGAGAGAACATTAAAATCCATAGACCGTGCTGCTGGAGTGTAAAAGTCACGGAGTTTTCCCCATGCTGCAGGAACTAACGGATCTGTTCGGATGGTCTGACAAACTGCTGGGAGGGTGCCTCTCTATCGGCCCCTGTAGAGTCTCTTGTGCCTGTAACCCCTTGGGGTGTAGCTGTTGGTTGCCGACCCTTACTCGTTCTCTCAGTGGTCAATCCAGCCATTGCCGCAGTGAAGAAGAAATCGGAACTCTTATCACAAGAGACTGCTGGCCCATATCTGACTGAAGCACAGAGAATGTGTACATCAGTGCCGGCCACATCCGGCCTCCTAAGTAGTCGATGCACAAGGTCCAGGAACTTGCCGAGGCACCCTCACAGCAGTTTGTCGGACCATCTCTAAACAGATCCGTTCGTTCCCGGTGCCAAACCAATGCGCCTGTGCGACCCTGCCATACTGGGATGTATGCATGCAGCCTTCTTCCACACACCACGGCAGTTCCTTCACAATAACTACTCGCCTATCTCTACACTCATACTTCGCTTTGAGAAGTCGAAGCTTGTCTGTCTGTCTGTCTATGTCTGTTCGTCCCCACCTGCTGGGCCAGCCGGGTGATCTCCGGCAACGCGGGGTACAGTCGCAGCGTCTCATTAAGGCAAGCGGTCAGGAAGGGCAGTCGCCGCTGAACAGCATCTGACTGAAGCTCCCTCACCGACCTGCCACCCAGCACCTCCAGCACCTGCACCGGCAGTGGCAACAGTGGCCGTGTGCACACACACTCTCTCTCACACACACACACACATGTACATACACACATATGTGTGGGACAGAGGGTTCATATCTTCACCCTGTGGCTGCAACCTGGCAGACACTGCCATCCCCGGTATTTCGGGGCACCCTCATCCAGTCACCCTAGCCAACTTCTCAGTGGATCGCTCAGGTTCAGCACCCACTACTGGCATCCAATGGAATCTGCCAGATCAAGGGGGACTCAACTTCGTTCCTGGTCAGCTTGCAGGTCAACTTTATCCCAGGTCACCACTGTCCATCAACTAGGGGCACTTCTACCTTTCACCATCGGAAGGATTTTCAACCCTGACAGGTCTCGATCCTGGAACCTCAGGGGGCATCAGTGTGTGCTTTACCAGTAATGCCTGACCTATATTTTATACACATATACACATACACACATAGATATGTACACATACATATACACCCCTACACATCTACGTACACATGTGCATGTGCATGCGCAAGCATCTAAACAGACATGCATGTACACTCACATGTTTTCTATGGATGAGTCCCAACATCGCAATACTCTGAACCACAGCTATAGCGCCTGCTGGAGTATACTTAGCCATACAAAGGTGCACAAGCATAGATACGCACACAGCAGATGGAGATGGAAGTGCATACAAACACCACATGCATACACACAAGGGGAGCAGTACACGGGCACACCTCTGCTCTTGCCGCCCTTTGCGCCTCAGGACAGTGAGCCAGGTGGTAGGCAGTGAGAGTGAGCGCGAGAGCACTGGTGTCTGTGCCGCCGAAGAACATGGTGACTAGCTGTGAGAAGGGAGAGGGGGGAAGTGGAGAGGGGCTGACCGGCGGGAATGGGTTTTCTGGGACTGGTGGGGACGCAGTGGATTTAGCTGCGCAGCAGAAACTGGAGAAGAAAGAAAGAGAGACACAGAGGGAAACACAGAGACAGACAGACAAACAGACAGACACACAAAAGCCAGGTAGCGGCACACGAAAGGCAATGCAAGCAGGAAATGGCGCAGCGGGAAGTGACACAGCCAGTGTTTTTTTCATTTTTGCCCGTCAATTTTCCAGTCCGAACGGAGGAATAGGTTTTTAGTCGCGGGAATAAAAATATTCCTAATCTGTAAGGCGCTGGGAGGGGGCTCCGCCCCCCCAGACTCCCCCCATGAGTTACAGTTTAGTTCGTACAAAAGCCGGGTTTGGGGCATGTCGCAACATGCACACACCACAATCTCTTCAGAAAGGTGTCTCTTACACGCCAGGAAGCGGTGCGCACTTAGGCGCTTTGACAGGAAGCCCGATTGCACGGGCGACTGCTGATCCCAAGGTCTTGCAGAGCCCAAGCAAACACAAACCAGCAACCCCTACTCAAGCACTGATCGAATAGAGAATAGATCATCTTTGCGCCACAGCGTGTGGGGTTAGGAGTCTTAGCTGCAGCGCCGTTGGCAAAAGCGACCCCGGCGACCTCGACACCCGTGTTTCCTGGCCCATCGCGATTTTGTCCATATGGCGAACGTTGACGTCTAGCCAACTCGCTGTTGACAACCGGAGTGGCGTCATTGTCGTCGGCGGGCTGCAGCATTGCGTTCACATTGCCTACGACCTCTACACCGTCTTCATCAACGTCGCTAATGGCTTCAGTGAAGTTTAATGGCCTGCCACGCTTTGGGAGCTTCGGATCCGATTATTTTGCAGCGTTTGGCCCGGTCAGAAATATTCCTCGTTGACTCGCAGGTGTGACCTTTCTAACAGTATCCATGGCATTGAAGTGCTATGATGTATGTCTCCTGTAAGATTCTAGCGGCTTTGCCCATTTTTGGCTGGAGGAATGAGCTTGTACGGACCGTACGACCGGATCGGAACAGGATCTATTCCTAATTTCCAGGACAACGGACATTTTTTATTCCGAATTCGGAATTATTCCGCAAAAAAAATCGCTGGACACAGCGCGGTCCCTTAAGCTTCGAAATCAATGTGACCATGTCCTGGAAAAGGACAACGGCCCCTTTTCCTCACTTCGATACCAACGCAACAACGGAGGACACGGCCCCTTATTTCGCGCCAAAACCAATGTGACAAAAAAGGACAGGTAGCCAACGGAGCAACTTCCTTGTCATGGCAAGAGCGATCTGCAGCCCGCACACTCCATTACCTGCTGTGCTGTCCCATCCTTTCCTATTCTCCCAAACCCGCCGTACGCTGCCGTACGCTGCCGCTGGCCCTCAACTTACCTCGTCCCTAATCTGCTTGTCGGTTATGCTGGACTCAGCAGTAATGGCAGTAGCAGCTGCATCATTACCACCTATACCTACGGCACCAATAATGTTGCTGCTAGCAGCAGCATGCGGGCAATCACCCTGCTGTGCAGCCAGCTGATGTGTTGGCTTAGGATGCCGCTCTTGCTGGTGTTGGTGCTGCAGCTGCTGCTGCTGCCGTACTTGCGCCTGCTGGGCTCGCAGCAAGAACGCCAAGAGATCTCGGTCCCCATCCAACACGCCTGTGTAGGGTGGGGGCCAGACAGGCAGGCAGGACCGTAGGCAGGCATGTAGAGAGGCAGGCTGTCGGTTGGTTGTGCGGTTGGTCAGGTGGGGAGGAAGAGGGGCCAGTGGCGGGAGGGAAAGTGCATGAGAATGCAGTCACGTATCAGACACAAAAGAGTAAAAGACACCACCGGTACACCCTTACGCCCGTATACCATTGCCGTACCGCGTTCTCGCCGCCGCCGAATTATGCCATACACAAGCTCATCCAGCGTGGCAATGTTGGCCATATACTTGTCGTACCCCGGCAGCAAATGGTCTGGTATGGGTAGCTGCAGCAGCAGCCACAGGGCTGCATTCTCGATGTCCGTGAGTACGGAGATAAGGTCGTATGGCACAGTCTCGGTTGCGGTGGTGGACGCGGCGTTGACGGGTGCGACAGCTGCAGATAGTTGGGATTCGTTGGGATTCGTTAGTGCTTGATGTCGTGCGCGTGGTCGTTAAGGCACATGACCGGATGGAGGGTTGTGAGCCGTCGTGTATAATGACTGTGCTCGACAAAACCCTTAGTATGCCAAAGCATAAACGGTGTTAGGGTGGGCCCGATGGCGAATAACGAGTTACAGAGACGAGTGATAATTATATTATCAACGAATAAGTATATGAGAATAGTGAAGCGGTTCATCCTCATTACAGTTGGGTTGCCATGGGCATGTCGTACATACGTGGCACCACACATGCACTGTCGGGATAACCAACCATCTGGCGCGAGCAGCTCAACCACCCGCATCGAAAAGGCAGGATGGAGAACACTGGCTGAAGCAACAAAAAAGATCGATCATGCTCCCGCCTGCTTCACCCTTTGGGAAGGTCACACGACCCTCCAAATCCCCAGAACACGCCCATTTAATACCAGCAGTCCCTGTGACCAGCACAGGGCACCCAACTGGCGCCCAGCAAAATTGCAGACGAGGTCCTCACTCCTACATTCAGGCACGTCTCCATAGTCCTGAGGGCCGCGTCACCCAGCGTCACCCGCGTCACCCAGCAAGTCACACAGCAAGCCCATGAACTCCTGCAGTGCCGACAGCTGGTCTATTTCTGGAATACCACTAACGTCCCTGGGCAGATCAGCAGGCGGGGACCGGTGTGCTTTGCATGCTGTGCACTGGATAGGCGGGCATTTAGATCACTGGCAAGCATCACATCCTCCCCCGACTGCCGCAGCTCGGAAATATCTTGTTGGATCCTCACAAAAGCAGCTTCCGCTGCTGCGGCTGCATGCGGTGCATTACTTGCACCTCCGGCTGGGTGCACTCTGGAAGTTTCGGGCACAAGGTAACAGGCCCCCACCAGGAGGCTGTTTCCTGACAGAAGGTTGACACGTATCCACAGAACCTCACAACCTGCAAGATTGTTGTTACAATGGCAACCCCATGGGAGGAGGTATCACGCACGTAAGGAGCAACCCTGCTGTAGTCAGCATGTATGGCGTCTCCTGACCTCTGCACCCACATCAGGCGGAAACCTTCAAGGGACACGTCACTGTCTGGCACTGCATCCATTAGGTGTGCTTCGGTAGCAATGACGAGATCATGGCTAGTCACAGAAGACTTGATTCCGGCACGGTCAAGCTTAAAAACACCTGCTTCCTTCAAGTTTAAAACCCTAAACACCCTAAAACCCTAACATGAATATTCCACAACAAAACCTTCAAACCCCTTGGACCTCGGCTCGTGTTCTCCTAGTCATCCACTTCAGCAGGCAGGTCTGCGATCCTGTCAGCAGTGAACTCGCCAGCCTGGTCATGAGGCCAGTTATCCGCTCTGCCGCCCTGCATGTCCCTCCCGGCTTCCAATTGTTCCCTCATTAACCCCCAGACCTTGCCGACCAGATCCCGCCACGGCTGTCTCAATCCTGTTCCTTTGCACTCCTCCACCCTGAGGCGGTAACAAAGCTGTCAATATCCATGGTGGGGCCGGCAACAAAGCTGGGTCTCGAATCATGAGGTGCTGGTGTCTGGTTTCGGGTCTGGTCAAGCCTACCAGGTGATGCTGAGTACATACTGGCTCTGTGCGTGGGTACTTGCCCCCTTTCACCTTTACTACGCTCAGTGAAGCCAGGGGGGTTCTCGGTTCTTCACCCCCAGCTGTTGCCTGTAAGGCTGCGAAGCTGGTGGTGGGGCTCCTGATGGTGACGCCATTGGCATGGGAGATGGTGATGGCGGCATGTTCACTGCAGACTGCGGACTGCTGAAGTCCCAGCAGCAGCAGCAGCAGCAGCGGCAATAGTGCCAAGAAGCGGTACTCTTGCCATTTGTGTCTCTGCCACCGACAGCAGTGCCACCGCTATCAGTAACGCTGACTCTGCACCACCCACGGAAAGAATATTCACAGCATTGTCATCATGCTCGGCATCCATCTCTCCACCTTCTCCCACCCTCTCCACCGTCGCTGTCGTCGCCACCATACTGGCTTGGGTCGAGCACTGGTGCGTGCCTGCTCGGTCTCTTCTTGTAGTACAGCTCGGCCCCGTTATGCCACATGGGGATCCACTGCTTCACCTTAATCACCTGGCCATAGCCTTGACCTTTCAGCACACCCTTCCTTGATGAGTAAGTCATCTACCCGAAGACCCAACCTTTTCAGATCAGGTGCGGCTTTGAAGTATTTTACCCGGTCCTTCCACCTGATGTCAATGAGCCAGCTCTTCATGCTGCGATCTGGCCTCTCAGTGCGAGTGAGGAGACCGATGTCAAGCGTGGCCAGGCCCAGCTCGGGAAGGCAGGCCTGGATGCTGTCCTCATCGTTGCTCCTCTCGGATGATCATATAATGAGCCGGTTTGACTTCACATGGCATTCCAGAAATAGAAATAGAAATAGTAGAGATGCACATAGTATAGAACCAGCAGTGCTGCAAGCCGCCAACACCCGTGGTCCTGCCTTGCTGAAATTTCTGGTGTAATCCGACCTCAAAATTGCAATACAGAATGGACAACATTTATACAGAGTACCTGGCAAGAGCGTGGGGCAATCCAGATGGCCCTATCACTGCTGGCATGCTCCTAGCCATCTATGGGGACTTCAGGAAGCTCGGAGACCAGGTGCTCCATCTGAAAAATGAGCAACAACTCCCCCACGTGGAGATCATCGACTTCCAGGGCCAGGTCAGTAAACTGGAAACTGACCTGAGCGGCATCACGATGGATGCCCGCTGACTGATCAGCAGCAATCGGTTCTTTTATTGGGACAGCATCGTTATCACGACCGATAGGAACAAAGATGAGGCCAGCATCCAGGCCTGCCTCGCCGAGCTGGGCCTGCACGTGCTGGATATCGGTCTCCTCACTCGCACTGAGAGGCCAGATCGCAGCACGAAGAGCTGGCTCATTGACATCAGGTGGAAGGACCGGGTAAAATTCTTCAAAGCCGCACCTGACCTGAAAGGTTGGGTCTCCGGGTAGATGACTCACTCACCAAGGAAGGGCGGGCAGAAAGATCAAGGCTATGGCCCATGTGGCAGGTGATTAACGTGAAGCAGTGGATCCCCATGTGGCATAACGGGGCTGAACTGTTTTACAAGAAGAGGCCGAGCCCAAGCCAGTACGGTGACGACGACAGTGACGGTGGAGAGGGTGGGGAGATGGATGCTGAGAATGATGACGACGCTGTAAATATGCCTTCCAAGGGCTGTGCTGGCGGAGTCGGTGTTACTGGTAGCGGTGGTGCCGCCACCGGTGGCAGCATGCCACCACCACCACCACCTCCCATGCCAATGGCATCGTCACCAGCCGCCCCACCACTAGCTCCGCCGTCTTACAGACAGCAGCTGGGGTTGAAGAACCGAGAAGCACCCGTGGCTTCACTGAGTGCCGTGAAAGCGAAAGGTGGCAAATACCCACATACAGAGCCAGTATACGGGCTCATGTACTCAGCATCACCTAGTAGGCTCGACCGGTCCCACAACCAGGCGCCAGCACCCCGTGACCCGAGGCCCAGCTCTGCCGCCGGCCGCACCATGGATATTGACGGCTTCGTTACCACCTCAGGGCGGAGGGGTTCCAAGGACCAGGATCGAGACGGCCATGGTGGGACTGGCCAGCAAGGTCTGGGGGTCGATGAGGGAACAACTAGAAGCAGGGAGGGACGTGCAGGGCCCAGCAGCAGAGCTGATCACCGACCTTATGACCAGGCTGGCAAGCTCACTAGTGCTAACCGGTTTGCAGGCCTGCCTGCTGAAGTGGATGACTAGGAGAACGCGAGCCGAGGGCCAAGAGGTTTGAAGGTTTTGTTGTGGAATGTCTGTAGGTTGTTGGAGGCAGGTGTTTTGAAGCTTGACCGTGCCGGAATTAAGTCTTTTGTGACTAGCCATGATCTCATCATTGCTACCGAAGCACACCTAACGGATGCAGTGCCAGACAGCGACGTGTCCCTTGAAGGTTTCCGTCTGATGCGGGTGCACAGGTCCAGAGACGCCATACGCGCTGACTATGGCGGGTTGCCCTTTACGTGCGTGATACCGTCTCCCATGGGGTTACCATTGTCCGGGAAAACAACAGTCTTCCAGGTTGTGAGGTTCTGTGGGTACGTGTCAACCTCCTGTCAGGAAACAGCCTCCTGGTGGGGGCCTGTTACCTTGTGCCCGAAACTTCCAGAGTGCACCCAGCCGGAAGTGCAAGTAATGCACCGCATGCAGCAGCAGCAGCGGAAGCTGCTTTTGTAAGGATCCAAGAAGATATTTCCGAGCTGCGGCAGCTGGGAGAGGATGCGATGCTTGCCGGTGATCTAAATGCCCGTCTATCCAGTGCACAGCATGCAAAGCACACCGGTCCTTGCTTGCTGACCTGCCCGGGGACGTTAGTGATGTTCCAGATTTAGACCAACTGACGGCACTGCAGGAGTTCATGGGCTTGCCGGGTGACGCGGACCCTCAGGGCTATGAAGACGTGCCTGAACTAGGAGTGAGATATGCAGATATCTGCCTAGTATGCAGGCATATATGCTGGCAGGTATATGTGCAGGCAAATGTGGAGATGGGCGAAAGTGCCTACAGGCAGGTACATCAGTAAACATTTGAGTAAACACCTATAGGCGGCACCCTCATGTATACACGTAGTAGATAGGGCCCGACTGACGTGGGCAACGGACGGACAGGCAGCCAGGAAGACGGCAGGCGAGTACCCGGGAGTACAGATGACGAAGTATAAGCACTGGATGGAGCTGCCCTTTTCGGGAGCCGCAGCCGTTATGTGGCCAACACATGCTAAGGTTTTCATTCCTCGTTTAGCACATCGTAAGCTAATGCAGATTCGTTTATTTTGCTGGGATTTGGAGGCAAACAGGCACGAAGGGGCAAGCACCATGTCCCCAGGGAGCAGCAGTTTTGCCGCTGTTGTGGCACCAATAGCCAAGTCGAGGATGAAAAACTCGTGTTATTGGAATGCCCAGCCTATGATGGAATTCGCCCGGAAGAGGGATTCGATCATCAAAACAGAGCGTGTTGGAGGCCATGAAATGGGAGTCTGCACGTCTGGCGAGGATGTTGGAGCATGTGGGCTCACCATGGGCTCACTCAGTTATCCCCTTTAGGCGCTAATCTGGATTGACAGTGCGGTGTTTCCTTTTCTCCGTGGCTTTTAGGTGTTTAGGTATTTTGCCCTTGGGCCTTGGGCTCGTACGGGTAGTTCTAGAGGTATATGAGGTCACGCATCCCCAACCATGTAACACACACACACACACGTACACATGCATGGAACATTGAGGAGGCTGGGGAAACTCTATTTTGAGGAAATCAAATCAGGCCATGAAGCAGGAAGAGTCCTCAGCCGGGGGAGCTGCCGTGTGTCCTCTGCGTCAAACACCGAGGGGTGAACCATCCGCATCCCTCAACCCTGCCCTCACCCCCCTTCCACACGCACCGACTTCAGGTTGCTCCACCCCTCTGCCCAAGAGCCCCAAGTCCACTTGGAGACTGGCCAGGCCCAAGACATCTAGAGAGTGACGCTTGAAGAGATTCTGGAAGTCCAACCGTAACGGTTGCTGCGGTTGTTGCGGTTGTGACGTCGCGACAGCGCCCGTGAGCAGCGTCTCCGCCAGTCGCGCCGCTGCTGCCGCCATGACGCTGTCGAGCTGTCGTACGTAATCGGCGCGGAAGGCGGGCGCCAGCGTCTCCCGCTGCGCCGCGTGGGCCAACGGGTCCGCCTGTGTCGCCAGACCGGCTACGGCATTGCCAGGAAAAGAAGTGCACGGCAGTAAAGCCAGCACGATAGTAGCAACAACAGCAGCAGCAACAGCAGCAGCAGCAGCATCAGGTTGGGACAACAAGGTGGTGCGATGGGAGTTTAAAAAGGGAATCTAAAAAGCTGAGACGTGGCTAGGACGTTTCCCGGCAACTCTGCCGGAATGTGTGACGACCTTCAACAATTTAATATCTTGAAGGTTGACGGTTGGTTGTTAGAGTTTCTGACAGCTGGTGCCGTACAGTGTGGAGGTCGTTGTCTGTGTGTGTGTGTGTGTGTTTTGGGGCCCCCGAGGCCCTTGCCCACCAAGCACCCTACATACCCCTCCATAGCCGTCACGAGAACCATCCAGATAACCAACCAACCAACCAACCAACCGCTGCCGTACCTCCCAACCAGGCCTTGACCCTCTGTTGGCGTGGATGCTTGGTGAAGCGATCCGCCCGGCGGCTGAGTACGGCAGCCACGTCATCTGGCTCCCGTACGAGTAGCACCTGCTTACCCAAGTACCGCACCTGAGTGCAGTGACGTACCAGGTACGGAAGGGAGCCGTGGGCTAGGCGTGAGTTGGTATTGGAAGGTTCGATGGATTTACTGAAGGCGGATGAGACCCCGGGACACCCCGACAAACAAGGGATGTTAGGTCGGTGTGAATGTGTCGCGTGTGTATGTGGTGTGTATATATAGGTGTATATGTAGGTGTGTATGTAGGTATGTATGTAGGTGTGTATGTATGTATGTATGTAGGTGTGTATGTAGGTATGTATGTAGGTATGTATGTAGGTATGTATGTACTTACGGCGCGGAGGAGTCGGGTGGAAGAGGACAGGAAGGGGAGCGAGGAGGTGGACGCAGCTCCCGCCTCTTACCATCAGGACCCTGGAATTGCATTCATTCAGAAGGCGGTGGTGAGATTCGAACTTGCGCCCCAGGTCCACCTGTGATAAATGTTTTCGGGAATGTAAAGGAGCACACAAGGGTAACCGGTGAACAGCTGTACTTTACGAGTAAGTGGTCAACGGGACAAGGTAGGCAAAGCAGTGCGGCAACGCCGGCCGCGTACGCGTAAGAGGCTGCACGATGGTGGTTGGCAGGGGCTGTGAGCCGTTAGCGTTATGGGTTGATTCAACCAGACAGGGGTCGCAACCGGTTTGCCACACCCTGCCGCCGCCACCGCCTGCCACCATCCGCCGCATGTTGATCTAACCCACGCCAGGAAGCTATCAGGAACGTGCCATGTATTGCGATCATGCTGTGTCGTACATTATGTTAATTTTCTGGTGTAGTACGACAGGGGACGCACCCTGTATCGTCACATGCCGTATACAGCTTGACTTATAATGTTGCGCAGGGTGCAAAGGGGCTGGCGTAGCGTACTGCGTGAGTCCGATGCTGTGCCATGCCCGCATACCTTGGGTAGATCCTCCAACAGCGGCAGCGACCCTGGCACCCTTGGAGCTGCTGGCGCTTGAGGTGGCGATTGGGCTGAAGCCGTGACTGCAACAGCAGTAGCAGATCGCCGCTGACAGCGCTTTGCCCAAGCATGGAACGGGACCAGATTGGGCGTAGGCAGCAGCCTGGCATTGCAGTGCATGTTTAGTGGAAGAGAGAGGGGCAACAGCGGCAGCGATAGCCTTCCAGCTACAAGAGCCATCCATGGACTGCGGGCGGCAATGGATGAAGCCACCCGACGTCGGGGACATGATGCCCTTTGAGAGGGTCCATAGCGTTGCGTTGCATGGCGACAATGGTGCATCGGTTACTGTATATGTATGAGAGAGAGAGCGCACCGCGGCCCACCACGGTCGCTCTGCTGCTTGCGATGCGCTGCCTGCAAGCGATGCAAGCTGCAGAAGGATTCAACCACAGAAGAAATTCCTGGCACACTTAACGCGTGTCATTTATAGAAAATAATACTTGTGAAGAAAGTTGAAGGAAGAAAACCATTATTATATATGGCAATGAAGCGTACGACCAACCGCCAAGAAGTTGGCTTGCGCAGCAATATGTTCGTCTGCTTTCCGTTGATGAAAGCGTTCGAGCGGATTCATACAGCTGTGCTACACTTGTGTTTAACGAGTGTTAGTCCTGCTTCCATTTTCCACGACACTCCCGATGACTGACGACGAAAGCGTACACGGTGTAGGACTAATAAGCAAACTTAGCCAAACAATTATTTTCTCTCCTTAGGCATCTCTGAGCTTTACATCCCAGAGAGCGACCTGGTGCACAATTCGGGCTCCGGAACTACGTCTTCATTTAATAGGAAAGCCCGAGAGAATGAAGCTCAAAGAGCTGCACGCGTTGATGCAGGTAAAACACAGGACCGATCCTCTTGTCGGCCTTGGCGCTGACCGACTGCGGCGGCACATTGCCGTACAGCAGTCGGGACTTCCACTTTTGCCCCCGGCCATGCTTGCCAATCAGCTGCTTTTGCCTTGCCTTTCCGATCGTACGTTTTCTTATACCCTCACTGAAGTCCTGTAGCCCCCTGGCCATTTCTGCTGACACCGCTGCTGCTGCTGCTGTTGTTGCTACCGCCGCTAATCCCTAATCTTGGTATATCTGATTGCTCTGGGTCTCACATTTGCTACTGACCTGCTACTGCCATAGCTGTCGTCTGAATTCCTGACGCTCTCTGGCCACTGGTGCTGCGCCTGCTATTGCCGCTACTGCCCCCGGTTCAAACCTCCCCCACATCCCCTCGTCTAGGACATTGCCCCCTTCCCCAACCCCAAGGTGGAGCTCGAGCAGTATCCCACGGGGCCCCACCTCGCATCACAATTGCTGTTTGCCGTAGACTCGTCGTACGATGAGCTGGCAGGCAGTACAGTCGTGGATCTGGGCTGCGGCACGGTGCGGTACTCCTTATAGCCGTACATTCGTACATTACGTCCTTTCCACTTCGGCAGGAAGAAAGAGACTTGCATTGATTTTATGTCGATTTCGCTAGTGCTACTGCTACTGCGGTGCAAGTGTGGAATTGTGGGTATTCCATTTCTGTCTGTCTGCCTGTCTGTCTATTTGTCTGTCTGTTTGAATGTGAGCTTGTGAGTGTTGTAATGATCTGAGCCGCGACGAATGTGTTTGTGCGTGTCTTTGTATCCCTCAGAACCCCCCTCACCCCCCCACCCGCCCCTACCACACACATACGTACACACATACATACATATATACATACGCTCCCAAAGGCCATGTTGTCCATCGGTGCCGCCCTCCTGGGCAGCCGCCACGTGCTGGGTCTGGACATTGATGCGGAGGCGCTGGAAGTGGCGGGGGAGAACGCGGCGCAGTACGAGGAGCCGCTGCCGGTACGACATACATGTACGCGTGCGTGTTTTCTGCGTGTGTATGTGCTTGTGCTCTAAAGTTAAGAAGAAAAGCTGCAAAGAGGAGGAGCATGACACGGTTATAAAAGCTGCGGCGTGAAAAGATCCAGTCGAGGAGAAAAGCAACCGAAACTAACTGACACCCGTCGTCCAACTTAGGGTTTGTTACACGTGCATGTCTGTCTATATGTACGTATGTATGTGTGTACGTTACATATGTGTGTGTTTTCTTTGCCAGGTTGAGCTGGATACCACGTGAATGGAATTCCCCTCTCCCCCCTCCCCGTCCCCGCCTCCTCCCTTCCCCGTTCCCCCTCCGCCTCCTCCCCCTTCCCCCTCCTCCTCCTCCTGAACCTCTCCCCAAGCTCCCCAATGGAAACCTTGCTTCCACCGCAGGCCCCCAGCGTCCCCCGGCGCCCTCCGCCACCACCCTCAAGCCCCCTCAAGCCCCCGACCCGCACAAAAACCCCCTCCCTCCCCCACACGCTTTCCCCCTACCTTCCCACCGGGTGTCAACCCCAGATCGACTTTCTTCTGGCGGATGTACGGCAGCTACCTAGGCAGTTGCCCAGGCTTCGAGCTGACGTGGTGATCATGAATCCGCCGTTCGGTACCAAACAAAAGGTACGACAATGAGATGTATGGCCGGCGGTGGTTGTACACCGCAGCTAGCATCCAACGGTCTCCAACCCCCTCCGGCCCTTTCTCCCACATCCTCCCTGCCTTCTGTCTTCCTTTCTCCCGCCCGCCCGCTTTTCCTCCCCCGCCCGCTTTTCCTCCCCCCTCCCTGCCACTCCTGAGGTACGGACTGACGTGTTTCCTACCACCACCACCACCACCTCCATCCGGCAACCCAAGGGGCCCCTCCCTCCCTTTTTGGAGGTCGGCGGTTGATTATTGCTTCTTGCATCATCATCATCATCATCATCAACACGTAATTTCCTCCTCTAACCCAACACTTAGTCTTCCCAAAACACAGATATGTCCCCCCTCTTGTCGTACTTTTAGGGCGTGGACCTGGCCTTCCTTCGCTCCGCATTCCACATCGCCACCACTTCCATCTATTCCCTTCACAAATCCTCCACACGGGAATTCATCGCCAAGACCGCCAAAAGGTGCGACTGTGTATGTATGTATGTATGTATGTATGTATGTGCATCACCAGAGGCGACACTGCTGCGGCCGCATTGGCGGCACTTGAAGTGACATGTGGGGGATGAGGATCCGTGTACAGGTGTGGGAAGATGCCGACAGCTCCGCCGGCGCTGCATCACCGGAGGCGATGCCGACACCGCTGTCGCCTTTGGTCAGTCAGCCCGTTTGTGCATTTGGTGCATCATCCCGTCATTGATTCCTACCCCCACTCCCAACCTCAACCCCAGTCCACATACGATCTCACTTGGGCTTTGCCTTCCTGAACCCCCCCCCCTAATCCTTTGACTGTCCGTCTATCTCTGGTATGTGCTTCACTCGTCAGTGGTTCGTCTTACCCCCCCCCCGGCCCCCCTGGGTGCTCCCTGCTTCCCCCCGGGCCGCTCAGGGAGCTGGGAGCCGGTAGTGCGGAGGTGGTTGCTCAGTTAAGATACGACCTCCCAGCCACCATGAAATTCCACAAGTGCGTTTCGGAAGGAAATAGTCATGAATGCAGGAAATGCTAATCTGCATCAAAAGCTGCACTTAAGAAAAAAATAGGACAAATGGGGAAAAATGAGGATGTCCAGTTTGATGTTGGTAGTTCCGAAGCTTCAGTTGGCAACAGCAGCAGTAGCAGCAGCAGCAGCAGCATGGGAGAGTTGGTGGGCGGCGGGAGACTGTGTGGGGTTTTCATTGTCGTGTGGTGCCTCTCTTCCTGTGTGTGAGTTGGGGATGACGGAGGGAGGGAGGGAAAGACGAACCACACACGATTGAAGCTGCTGCCAGGGCAAGAGAGTAGCAAACGTAAAAACTGACCGAAAGGCGTCCGTGGCGACTGTGACGACTGTGACCTCGGGATGACGAAGTGACGTTGATGTCGGAAATCCTACCTACCTAAGCCGCCAGAATTAAAAAGCTGAATAGTATAGCCAATCCGTAAAGAAGTAGGTGTAGAAAAGTAGTAGTGAAGGCGGCGAGTAAAATAGTGCTGTCGTAAAGGTGGCCTAAAGTTGCTGGCCTGGAGAAAAAGGCTGATTTGCTGATACTGAAAGGCTGTCGGTATGCAAGTGCTCCTCCAAACCCCTCAAAAAAACTAAAACGCGCGACCGACCCGACCGACCCGACTATTCTATTCCGGCTAGCCTACCGACGCCAACGCGATATACCAAAGAAGCTCGAACCACCCTTTGGACTCACCTGGCCAGGCCGCAGAAGTAGTGGCAAAAGGCACATGCAAAAACAAAAGGGTAGCAAAGAGGTGAGCCGGGTGCGATAAAGGACAAGGAGACATGCGAATGCTGCTGAGGAAAAGTAGTAGCTGGCTGGCTGATTTGAAATTTTGACTGAGAAGGGAAAATAAAGGAAATGGAAACGCTTAAGAAAGGAAAAACAAGCGAAGTGTCGTACCGGATGAAGGAATGATGACGCAATGAACGAATGCATAACAGGAAGTAAAGGCGTAACGGGGTGAGAGCAATTAGGGAAATAATAATAAAAGACATAATAAAAACAAAAAACAGTGCGTGGGTCGGGGCCACATATGGCTCCCGCCAAACCGTGCGCACCAGGAGCATCTGCATGCAGCTCCGTGGTGCCTAAAAGAAGGGGCAAGAGTAAACGTATGAGGGGCAGGGAAAGAAGAACTACAAAAGAGTGAAGGTAATTAGGGGCAGGGTAGAGAGGAAGGAGAATTAGGAAGCAGGGTAGGGAGCAGGTGAAGGATGTGAGATAGGATATCGAAGCCATTACGGCGTTGTTGAGACCCGATCCGTGAACAGGGGGGAAGGTGCGAAGTCGTTGTACCCAGAGCATTTCCCGGGCTTGGCAGATGGAACGGTAAGGAAGTAGTCGTGAAGAATCGGGAGGGGGAAGGTTATCAAGAGGGAAGAAAATGAGGTGTGAAAGGCCGGAAGCCCAGATAGCTTGCTGAAAACGGCAGGCTCGTGACCCGATACCGGTAGAGCTAGTGCGGGAGTAATGGGCAGCAGTGTCGTAAATGGAGGGAGGGAGGGAGGGAGGGGGTTTTGTTTAGGAGTGTATTATGGAGGGCTGTCCACGCCCACGCGGAATACCACTGTACTGCTGTCACCGCTACTGCTGCTACCGCTGTTGCTAGTGCTATTGGCCACCATTCTGGTGAATCCGACCAAGGAAATCAACTAAATCCCAACCCTAAAACTCTAAAACCCAACCCTAAAACCCGACCTGCAGGCAAAAGAGTGTGGATATCGAGGTGGACCTCTGGAGGTTTCAAGTGGGGGCCTAGGGGGTTCCGCGTCCAGGGAGGGGGAAAGCACGTGTGTGTTTTAGTTTTATTAAGGGGGGAAGGGGGAGAGAGAGGAGGGGCCCTATCGTTGGGTTGGTAAGTTACCGGGTGCGTGGGGTTATATGCATGCAAGTATCGCATGTGAAATGTAAATGGAAAGGACTGATGCAAAGGGTCAGGGAACTCGAGGGCAGTCGTAGTATGGAAAAGATGGCGGTTGGCGGGCGTGTGTCTCATTCCCCAGGGGGGGATAAACATGCTTGTGTGGGTGTTGGCGGGACAGAGGAAGAGGGGGCCCGGTGTAGTGGTTATGGTAGTTGGTGGTTGACGGTTGTAGTGGTAAGGTCTAACCTAGCCGAGATTCGGGCGAGAGAGCGGAAGCTGGCCATAATTGTGATGCACACGTCCTCCAGACGGGACAGCCCAACTTCCAAAGCGGATTTCAATTTCCGTGTCGCTTCTATACAAGAGCGGTACGGGCCGCACCCTAAGTGTGCGACGACTGTGCATCGCGAGGCCCAGCCGTGACCCCACCGCACAGGCTCGTCGTGCAGAAGGTTATTGGACTGTCTTCTCAAAAATTCAAAGATTTCTTTGCCTGTTGTTCGGCTGGCTAGATATAGTGGTTTGGAGGCCTTGCGGTCTTGTCCAATGCAAAATGCGCGGCCACGGTGTCTCATGCCGAAGTCACTATCGCATAGGTAAGCAGCCAGCAAAACAACGTTGACCCGTAATCATATTACTACTACATTGACTGATCTATCCACGTTTGTGTAGCGGTAATTTGGCAATGACCGGTGCCCTGGCAACGCAAGATTGCCCGGGCACAGTTTCTTCTCGTATGTGCGTCGGAGCTGCTACCTGGCGTAAAGCAAATATGGACTGATGTGTTGGAATTGGAGACGCGCGATGGAAAAGTCGGTTGGCGCGCTTCAGGGGCGGCCCGGGAATCTCGCATTTTGTGCAAAATCGCGTTCAAAAGCTCGTAAGGACAGGTGTAAAGTTGTGATCTCTGTGATTAGGAAGCAATTTCAGTGAACCAACTGAATTCTAGGTAAGTGAGACAAGTGTGGTTTCGCGAACGCCTGGTTTCGGCGCGACCGTCCCTCCGCCTCTCCTTTTGCTTCTTTGGCGCCCACGGACTTGTAGGTGTTCGCCGTGTCAATTATCCCTCATCGTTGCGATTTCTGTTAATTGGTGCTGTTATACATTAATACTTCCTTGTAACACAGTGCAAAATGCTGCAACTTCCTTGCGCACATAGGGCAGCTGCGTCGCGGCCAGCACGCCTTCAAAACTGCCGCAAAAGCACCCGATTTTCAGTTTGCCGATCTACAGGGCAAGAGGCTGGCGCTAGCGTGACGACCGTCGAACGGCCTTCCGTCGATGAGGATGCCAAGGTATTGCAAGCGAACGTTGTAATGAATGGAACCTCCTGTTACCATTGCCGATAATGAACAACCACAGGCGCACTACATCAAAACCTTGCGCGTCTAGCCAGGATCTGCGAATCCATCCCCTCGCAGGTGAAGGCGACCATCTCGGCCCTGGACTCCCTGCTTGGTTCCCAAGACACGGTAAGCCTGGCCTACTCTTGCACTATCCCTGGCCGCCACAGGTTACTTCCTTATCCCCTAGTTGGCCCTAGTTCGCCACACCTCGATGCCTACTCGATGCTGGAGACGCCGCTGGCCTCCATCCACCGCCATCGGCTATACTCCACCTCCTGTCCCTGCTTCCTTCCCCTCCCTTCCTTACCTCCCTCCTCGGTACCCTCCTGGGGCGCGTTGTGCAGCAACTGCCATGCCCTCCTCCTCTATACCTGCACATGCATCCGGCGTGTTCTGTTTTTCCTTGTTTAATTGAGGGAAGTTTTTTTATTTTTGAAGACTCGATCGCTCTGAACCCATTCGACTCTTCATTCTCTTCACCTTTCCCCACCTCCTGACCATTATTGTCCTCCTCCTATCTGCTCCGCCCATCTCCCCCCACCCCCTCTCCTGTTCATCGCAGGCCGCAACCCTTAACTCCCGGAGCAGTGCTGCATCCTCATCCGCCTCGGCGAGTGGGACTGCGGGCGGCGCCAGCAGCGCCGCGCCACGCCAACCGTCCGGAACCTCCGGGGGGCCCCCAGCGGGCTTCAAGCTGCCGCCGCTTCCCCTCGGCGGCGCCAACAGCGGTGCCAGCAGCCGTACGGACAGCTCCCGCCGCAAACCCGCCGGTCTCACGTTTGACCAAGTCATGGGCTTCTCCGGACTGGCACCAGAGGTCATCAACGGCCGCGCGGCAAGTGAGTAATACGGCATGTTACCGTATATACATACATCTTGCCGTACACATGCAGCCACCCTTAGCCTGTAGCTTGTCGACAGTTGCTTTGAGTCGTCATTGCTCGCCACTCACTGGTGACGGACTTCACTACCGCTGTCATCATTGTTTTTTAAATTAATAACGTAAACTACTGAGCAACTGAGCAAATATTAAGAATGATGACATGTTGGATGCCCTCGCAGTGATTGGGTTCCTGCTGGCCATTAACAACGAGCTGAGAACCGGGGAAAGCGTGTTTGCGCAAATGGTGTCGGGCGGCGCCGGGCAGGTAGGGTACTGGGGAAATGGGGGGAGTTTTGTAGTACGATTCAAATAGTGATGAGGCATATGGGTGATATGAACCTTGGCCCTATGACCCTTGGCCCCGGCCCCGGTTACAAACCCCACCTTGCGGGGTTGGGGAGTGGGGGGTGGATGCACGGCGTGTGTGTTTCGAGTTTCTCAGGAACTGTTGCTGTAGCCGGTTAGCACATTTTTCCTCAATACTCAACGTTCTTGACACAATTCTCTGATAGCTCCGCCTGCCCACTGTTGTACTGTACGGCACAGGCACTCGTCGTCATTCTGGCAGTCACCGTGGCGTCCTTCGCGCCAGCCATTCGGGTGAGAGCCGTCATACATCAACAAAAACATAATGACATATACATGCTTGCGGCGCCGTCCTTTTAACATCTTTCACAGAAATTGTGAAGATTTCTGTTTTACACAATTATACACCATAATGCATTATTTTGCATTTTGGAATTTCTTGACGCTTCAGGGCACTCCTCTTGACGAGGTGTTCAACAAGGTGGGCCCCAAACAGATCAAGGAGTGGGGCCCCTTCACAGCCGCAGCGGAGGGACTCAATGGCCGTCTGGCGATGGTGGGCTTGGGGCTGCTGCTCTTCTTTGAGGGAGCCGGATCAACCGCGTTTTTCTTAAACTAACTTGTATAATAAATAATAATTTATGAAATCTTATGAGCTGTTCGGAACCGTTGAATTTGATGATTCAATTCAAAAGCAGTGGGGGAGGAGGTGCTGTGGGGATTAATGTCAGCTATAGCGATGTGTGCGGCACAGTGTGCGGGAGTGAACTTTCAGGGTACATGAAGCATATGGACCGACTGACAGACGAACAGGTAGGCAGACGTACGGGCAAACCGGCCGGATGCAGACCAACCGGTATCGTACGGCGGATATGGCACGAGGGTGAGAGCGAGGGTGTGTGGAGGGTTTGCCAGTTTGATGGGTACATCTGGGGGTTTGTGGGTACGTACGTATGTTTCAATATATATATGCGCGAGTGTTCTTTGCAAACGGTTGCAGAAAAGCTTAACGATGGGATGAGTGTCGTGTGCAAAATAGGAGAGGGAGAGAGAGAGAGAGAGAGAGAGAGAGAGAGAGAGAGAGAGCGCTAAGAGAGTGGAGTGTGTTCTTTGTTTGTTTGACGGGGTTGTTGTGTTGCGCGCGGATGAATGAAACGATTTTTTCTTGCTGTGTGATGAGACAATTTTGTAAATGTCACATATTTAGAAATACAGACAGAATCCGTACCGCTGGATATATATGCTGTCACATCTCCAGATTGTATGTGTCACACAGGATTGTTGTTGTAGACATCAAAATATGTCAATAATTGGATGACCACTACACTGAGAATCGAGGTGAACTAAAAACATTCAAACAACAGCTTACAACGTCCTTTTTGAGCAGAACAGACGATGCAGAATGTATTTTACATGAAAAAGACTTGCATCTTGTTACTTGCTACACATCCGAACTAAATAAAGAGGTCTGGTCTGGGTTGACACTACTGTGATTCGCGGTTTAAGGTCCTGGGTTCGATTCCTGCGGAGACCCCCGAATTAGTCGGGAGCGCGAGATTATGGCTAGCTGCTGAGATGTGGAGTTGAGGTCGCAGTTGATGGACCAGATTCGCACGCTAGATTGGTGGCGATTGCCGAACCCTCCGTCTCTTCGGTTGTTCGGGTGAATGGATGAGGAGGGGTCCTAGACGGCTGGACCCGCCGCCTTGGACTTACAGTTCGTATGGCGAAGTATAGTGTGGTAGTGGTGGACGGTGCTATAAGATGATAAATCGTAGAACTGACAATGTGATAAAGCGGCCCAGAAGCCTCCCACTCTGTAACATTACAATTACAATTACAATAAAAATAAAGATTGTCGTAACTCTCGTTGCTGATATTCATACAACTTCAACCCTCCGAACAAGTATCGTACAGCGTCAGCGCGGCCAGTCTGGTCTTTTTGCCAAATTTGCACCAGCCTAAGCGGCACGCAGCAGCAATAACCACCACCGATAGGACTGTTAGCTACGACTCGACTTCCGGAGCGTTACATCCCCACTTTACACAACATAAAGTTCAGTAAAACAACATAATAACACCATATCGGCGAATGATTCCCGGAACTAAGGTGTGAACCGACACGAGCTCTTAACTACGAGTCAATGCAATTTGCGAAGTGCGCACAACGCCAAATAATATGCTGCCAGCGTAATTTCGTTACGTCTGATTACTCACCACCCTCGCCTCTCCGAAACCCCAAACCCCTAAACTCCTAACCCGTTTCGGCCAGCTTTCGGGCCCAACACTTCAATACACTACAAACGCCTTGGATAACGGATTCAATAGGAGTCAGCTACTTTACCACGATGACAATGGGCAACGTCAAATCCTGTAACAGTTTATATAATATGAGTTTGATTCTTCATGCTCTGTGACTGCTGCAACTGCTAGTTGTACGTGTTCTTCTTCTTCTCGGCTTCCATTCTTCATAAACGTCAACTTCCTGCCATCCCATCGCATGCGCGACAGGCATGGCCACACCATGACATATATGACATCAACGAATACAGCACAACACAGCACGGTACGGCACAGCACAAGAAACTCAACTGTGCAGGCCTAATGCACTCTACAGCCATCGTTATCCAATCGCAACAATCAACATGATTTCATGACGTCTGGTGAAATATATCTTCGTTCCAACGTGAAATATCTTTTCTTCCCGTTCCACCGGGGCGCACACCAAGCGGTGTGTGTGACCTAGTGCTGCTGCTGCTGCAGCAGCAGCAGCAGCAGCAGCAGCAGCAACAACAATAACTCCAGTACCAGAAGGCAGTAGAAACCTAAACGGACAGCCGTGACATAACGTTTCTTCAACCAACAGCATCATTGGCAGAGCAGAGCAGCAGCAGCTGCTGACGCCCCGGTTGCCGTCCCAGCAGCGGCAGAGGGAACCAAAACCATGACCCCTAAACCCGACGCCAGCAGCGACCACAACCTGAGGCGTAAAGAGTTGTGTTTGCAGCTGCTGCTGTTATCCTAGTTAAAACCCCACCGGACGCTGCGGCGGGAACCGGAAACGTTTTTACCCCCCCCCCCAATGACAAAACCCCCTTCTCCCTCCAAAGAATTCACCCCAGAATAAAAGTGACCACACCGCTGCCACAATCGTGTTCTTCTTCTTCTTCTTCTTCCAGCACCTTCCGACTCGGAACAAGCCCCCAGGTCCCATAAGTCCCCCAAATTACGCAACCAAGCGTTCCCACCGCACCCTCAACGAGCCCACCACAAGGGCGAGCGCATGGCCCTGTGGTGTGATGCGACGATGGTGGCGAGACACATCCCAACATCCAGCATGAAGAGCGCGCGATGAATTATTATTATTATCTTATTTCATCAATATTGCGGCGAGAGGTCAACGGTGCACCAAAATGCACACGGCAACATACGCGAAGAAGCACACACACATACATTATCTCACTCCAATTGACAGTAACCCAACAGTGACTGCCCTAAGAATCCAAAGCTGCGATACCAGCCGGCCTCTTCTTCCCCGCAGGATGAAGAAGAGGCCGAGAGGTTCTTGGAGAGGTTCCCCGCAGGGTGAAGAACCAAGAACCTCTCCGTGAACACCAACAGGGCGTGAGCCTACAACCTACCAAGAACCCGTCTCAACCCCAAACTCCCCCAGCTGCCTTGCCTCCTCGTCGACGACCCCCGCGAAAGGATTGCCGAGCAGAATGTTTTTATAGCCGCTGAATATAACCAACATAAGTCTTCTCTTACGCCGCGCGCCTTCCTCAAGAACTGTTCTTCGCGCCGCCTTTCCACAAATCCAACCCCATCCTTATTTAAATTCCAATCCAAATCCAAATCCAAAGTCCATTCATCCAATCCAATCCAAGCTCAAATCCAAGTCCATCCATCCCAGTCGTCCGCAGCCCCGTACACCGCAGCCCCTTCGCTCCCGACGAGGGAAGAGATGCGCAGAGAAGGGAAACCAAACGCATCCCGAGGCGGCCCAATACAGTCACACACCACTGACCGAACTGGGCTTTCGCAGTCACCCCCGCAAGAACTACTACTGTACTGCAGCCGTCAGACCGTACATAAACAGCATTTCCAGGGCTGGGCCTCCCTCCAGCTGCTTTCCAGCTGGTTCTATCTGGCCCGGTCCAGTTTCCATGCTGACAGCCACTCACCACTACTACAAATTTACTACTACGCAATATTTCCCCTCGGCCCCCTTCCGCTTCCCCTCCTCCCCAAGACGCCGCCAGGGGCCCCTTCCCCCCCTCCCTTCCCCTCCCCCATACCTCCAGTACCTCCATCGCACATGCACATTTCCCCTTCTCTCCCCCTCGCACAAACACACCGTCCCGACTCGTCCCGTCTCGTCCCATCACGCGTGCCGCACCGCGTTCGAGCGCCACTGCTTCAGATCGCTGCTGCCGCCAAAGGAAGGTGCCAGAATGTCGTACAGTCCCAGCGGATTGTCCGTATGCACCCAGTGTCCGCTGTTGGGCAGCAGGTGCACTCCGTGGCCGGCTCCGGTGATGGCTGCCTCGTCGGGACCGCCCCACCGGAAGGTGCTGCGCTCCGCCTGATGAATACCAGCGACCCATGGCACGGGGCCAAACAACATTGGGTCAAAGCGGGCGGGCTTCAATTAATAATCGACACACGCAGGAGGCGGTGAAAACGCAGGAGGGTCGCTAAGAAAGCGGGTTGTTACGAAAGAAGATTATGGAAACGATGGTGCTAACGACAGGAAAAAAGAACCTGCGAAAAGGCGAAACCTCTGTCGGTGTGGACGTGCGCATAGGCACAGCCAAACATGGCATGACACCACACCACACACAACACAACAACACAGCGCAACACGTGCTCAAATATGCATGTCATGTACACAACAAACATAAGGGAGGTGGTAAAGGCACAAGCTACGCACACCACACCACACCATGAACGCGTAAAAATGCACATGCATGCATATGCCACCACGTCCTCTCCTCTCACTTTTACAAAGTCCAGCTTCAGCCCCTCCGGCGGCCGTTGCACCAGGTCCCAGAGCTGCGTGCTTTCGTAGGAGCTGCATCAGCACACCAGGCGGCGGGGATGCAGACGTGTTCATACAGACAGACGACGGGCTGTCCTGTGCTGTCGCCGTTCTAAGAGCAAGTATCGGGTGCTTAGCTGCTTACTGATATGCCACTATTGGGTGCTTACTGATATGCTCACTGCCCCCGAGACCAGGCCGAGAGGAGGGAAGGGGTGGGCCGATGTGGCGGAACGCCTGGTCGGAGCCGAGGGACCTGGGGCCTGGCGCGATATGGATTGTCTGAAGCTGATGGGACTTCTGGAGCCGCTGGGTCAATATCAATTGTCTTTTCAACGACAGCTTTCTGACGTATGTTCAGGAAAAGATACCTAGGGAAAACAAATCCGAAAGGACGATCCAAGATCTTCCCAATGCCAGATCCACAGAGTGCCGTATCCTGGAAAAGAACGCAGCGCCACGATCAAGCACGTGGGGCACTAGTACCTGGCGTACGTGTTTCACACGCGTGTTCCCCGCTTCCCTGCGAGCACCCTATCCTATCCCAGCCAAGCCAGATGCCCCACGCTGCCCCAAAACCATATGAAACCCCCCAAAACCACAACCAAGTACACAGCCCAGCTGCAAGGCGCACGCAGAGACACACACACACACACACACACACCTGTACAGCTCCGCTATGCCGTCCAGGTCAAACGTCCACGTCACGGGCCCGCTGCCGTACGCTGTACCCTCCCGCACGGGCCGCAGATTCGTCACCACCCAACGAGCGACATTGGAGGAAAAGCCTGTGGATGAGGTTAAAATTGAGCCAATTGATTAAAAAACATGTGGAGGATTTGAATGTGCAAATTAGTTAGGACGAAGAGCTCCTAACGGTGCTTATTCCGCGGTAACGCGATTTGTTGTTTGCGCCTAGCTTATTACACTTATTTTCAGGTTTTGGGGGTTTGCGCCAATCCCGTAAGAAGGAAACGCTAGCTTCTGGGTTTGTACATCACAAATTTCATATCTTTCCACGTACTTCCCGAAAGCCCGAAAACCTGTCCGTTCATCCTCCCGTACATAAAAGGCCCACCTGCTTTCACCACCATGTCAATCACGTCGCTACGTTTCGCCACCGGCATGGGAATGGAGCGCAGGAAGCCAATGAGCGCACCGGGGTGGTCGCCACCCTGCGGGCCGCCTCCCGCGCGGACCTCCCCGGGAAGGGAGTCCAAGACCCACACCTGCAGCGGAGTTGGCGAGTAGGGTGGGGAAGGGTAGGGTGGGGTAGGGTAGGGTAGGGTAGGGTAAGCATGTAAGTATGTATGTATGTATAAGGTACGTAGGGTTAAGGGAAGGATAATCTTACCGCCAACCCGTGGCCCCCGTATTACCCATGGGAGGTGGGTCCCCCTCTTTTCCCCCCCCCCAAAAAAAACCATCCCCCCACACGCATACACACCGCCCTCACTGACCTGCACGGGTCGCGGCAGGCGCTGCGGAAACTGGCGCACCATGCTCATGACCACCTTGCCCCCAAACGAGTGGCCAATGAGAACCCTCGGAAACAGCTTCAGCTCCCGCAGCAGCTCCAGCACGTCACCGCTAGCTGCCGTCACGCCGTGCGGTCCGACGGGGCGAGTGGGCAGCGAGGCGGACTCTCCGTGGCAGCGGAGGTCTACCAGCAATACCTGCCAGCTGGGAAAACCCTGCGCGTGCGATCGCGCGCGCGAGAGAGAGGAGGGAGAGAGAGAGAGATGAAAGGAAGGTATAAAAAAACCATGACTGGCGACCATCATGTGGAAAAATAACGAGTCCATGATGCTCGCTCGCTGGCGCCCCTAGCCATGCCCTCTCCTTGCTTCTTCCGTACTTCTCCCGGTTCTCGCAGCCCACACATTCCCCCAATCCGCTCCAAATCCGCCCCAGCCGGGGGACTTACCTCCACAATCATTTTTGCAAAGCTGGCCATGTTCTTCCTGTTTCCCAGAATGCCGTGCACCATAACGGCAGTAGGCGGGGCCTGCTGCTGGCTGTTGGGGTGCGTCCAGCGGGCCTGGGGGGGGGGGGAAAGGGCCCGTGGTGACAAGAGTTAATAACAGCGATTTACCGTCCATGGGCCCCCTCAGGCTTTTACAACACCCCCGCACGTTGTGCGGAACTTGTTAAAAGCGGCGGGTGCGTTATGTGGTGGCAGTCTGGCGGTGCTCATGGTAGACATGCCGAAGCGCCGGGAGTCATTGGGCGGCATCGTGGCGGTCGACACAGTGGGTTTAAACGTGACCCAGATGGGCCCAGATGGACAGGTTCAAGCTGGCGGTATCACAAAATGGTGACCGGGAAAACGCAGATGGACAGGCGCCATAGAAGGAGGGACCACAAAGGCAAGGCGGGGAAAGTAAAGATGCAGGCGAGGCTTGAGAGCAAGGTTTTTTTACAAGGGCTGCCTTCACGCTGCGAATGTGGCACAAACAGGTTGCAGGTTGCATCGTGCTGCAACTGCGACACACGGCCATCCGGGGGAGAGGTGTGTGATGGTCTGTAAGATGTGCGTTACTGTGCTTCGCAACAAAGCAGAACCCACATCCCCCGTGCGGTGATGTAATTCGGCAAACATTCATGGCATCTGGTTACAATGCTTCCCCCTGAGCATCCAGCCTCTGACGCTTCTTGCTTGCGTCCGAGCCCGCACCATCGGGTATGCTAGAACCCTGCCCTGTGCCCAACGCACCAGCGGTCCTTGAAATAGTTCATATGCCTGCAAGGGAAGTACGTAACGTATGGAATTAGCACAAAATTGCCGTTACCGCGGATCGCTCCAAACTTGAATAAAAACGGTCCTTTACAGCGCAGAGCCCCCCTAATGTTTAATTCTAATAGGTAAAAGTAATTACTCACAATAGGGGTGTCAACGTCAAGTTCATCGTAGGACAGAGAACGCAGAAAGCTTGGGGATGACAACGAAGGAGCGGCGGCAGCAGCTTGCTGTGAATGTGCAGTTAAAAGGCCAGCTGAGCAATAAAGGCGGACCTGTATGTAAGGGAGAGGCCATGTGTGACACCTGGGGCCCATCCAATCGGCCGTGATGAGACAGAAGGAAAGCGTTTCTAACCTGCCGCCCATGCAGTCCATTCCTCCCAGCGCATGTGCGTAGCTGGGTGCGCATAAATGGTAAGGTGCGCGCGGCGCCCAGCACTTGTGGTGCCATATGAAAGGCGAAAACAAATGCAGGTTCACCACACCTCAAACCAAACTACGTGCCGCTGAAAATCCCTCTTGTGCACAATACGTGTCCAATAAGTATGTTTCTACACGCAAAATAAGACTCCATTCTAAGCTTCTTGATTTCGTCAATTCAGTTGCTTCACGACTGAGACCCCAACGAAAATTTACCTGTTTGCCGGTCTGCGCGGCCTTCCATCGCCATCTATTTTATGGCAGGACTATTCAGCTGTGTTGTTCACTTAAAAATAGCAGCCAATAGCCGCAGAGCCGTGAGGCCTCATCGATAGCGTCTCGGCATACCTTTGACTAGACATTTCTACCCCGTTCCTTCTCATCGTCATTCGCCACCCTATTTACATACGTACCTTTTAACACATGAAGCCATGCCGTTTTAGCAGGCTGACCAGCACTCGTGCTAACTTTCGCACCAGGGTTCTCCGGAAGTGCTTGGCGGGACAACATCAAGCAACATGTTTCTACCGTCAGCCGTGCTCCCAGCTTTCCTTGTTCGCCAGTGTGCAAGGCCCCTGCTCAGCCACAGTCCAGAAGGGGCCGTGCAATGCACCCGAGCCTGCAGCCCCGGCTGGGTCTGTTCGACGTGTTATGGTCTCCAGACATGCTGCAGCAGTGGATGTCCTGAGGAGGGTAACGCAACAAGCTACGATCCCAGTTCCTACAGCGATGCCAGAGCCAAGCACTTCAGATGGGCTGATGCTCAGGTCCGTGGTCCTGCCATTTGCATGGCAAATTGACAATGAAGGTCCACGATGAATGTTCGGGTACCATTTGCTAGGATGAGGAAGCGGAACATAATAGCTCAGGGGAAACGTGGTCGTCTGGTCATATGTACCGGCTCCGTATGTCGTCCCTGACTATCCCCAGCGCCTTGTGTGACTTAAGGATCTGTTGCAGCGTAAGATACGGGCCGTGCGGTGCGCTGGTCATCCGTGGTTACTAATCTTCTGTCGATGACACATCCTCAGTTTGCAATCCTATCCAAACTTTTGTTGAGCATTGACACATTGACGGAGTATCACGCATCAATATGATGTAAAAGAAGGCTAGAAATGTTTGTCGAGGACCATCGGTTCAGTCCTCATGTGTCGGTTAATTTTCAGTTGGTAAGTACCGCACCAATTGCGCAGCAATTTGGCGACGACGAAAACCTTTTCCTTCCTTTACTATAAGTCGGCATGAACCCGCGAGCAAAGTTGTCTATGTTATGAAACATAGACACCACGGCTCCTCTCGCAGCAAGTCAACGCCGCTAAAACCTCCTTGAGCCCGGCTTACCTTATCCAACTCGAATTTCTCTTGTGACCTTATGCAAGGCCATTATTCTCCGTTATTTTGCCCGTTCCAATACCCACTTGATTAGACCGCCTTGTTCCTTCTTCTGCAGATTTCCCGCACTGGAATTTCGGAGCCTCCTACTCAATGCCCTAGGTGCGGTCATCATAGCTCGCGCGATAAATTGCACACTCAGTTCGTTTCACGGCTCGCCTCAGCACATTTGGTTCGCGTTAGAATACTTTCCTGTTGTCGTTTCCCACGATGTCCCTCCCACCGCGATGAGCACGAAGGCACATAGTTATGATAACCATGCCTGAGCCTAACCATGGCTCAATTTCTCATACTCTCAACAATTTTACACCCTGTTCTCTGTTCCTTTCCGTCCTCGTCCCGTCGCGTCCCACATTCCCCCGGGCCATGTCCCCACCTCCAAATTCCTCTTCCCTGAACACCCAACCAAATAGGTCGCGACACCTTTCCCGAACGTGCCGTCTGGAAGCGCCACAAAGTATCGCTGTGCGCCCTGCTGCTTCATCTGGACGATGGAGACCTATCCGCCTACACCTCAGCGTTGGACGCCCTGGTGGGGCGAATCTGCATGGAGGAGCGAGAGGGACAAGCTGGGCGCTGTGAGGGCCGGGCCGGGTCGCGGCAGGGCAATGCACGGGCACGTGCGCGAGTACGTGCACGGGCACGGCCGTGCAACGGTGCTGCGGCGGGGAGGGGAGGGGAGGGCGATACGTCATGCAAGTCATTGTTACGATCGCAGCCTCCATCATCATCATCATCGTCGTCAACAGTATCATCAGGGGCGTCGCTAGATGGGGGGAAGGAGGAGGAGGAGGACGGGGAGAACGGTGTGGCGGCGGCCGTGGATGCTTCGAGGAGCAGCACGAAACGCCAGGCGGCTGCTGCAGCCAGGACGACATGTCTGAAGGCGCAAATCGATGCCTGGTGTCGTGCTGCAATGGCAGGAGGCACTTTCTCCTCCCTACGCTCCCTCCTTGAGCGAGTGATGGAAGTGGGGGAACCTGCACCACTCGTAGATATTCGCCGTAACGGCAGCCACACGGAGCTGCAGGTATGTATGCATGTATGTAAGTGTGCGTACATAAGTATGTATGTCTGTTAAGGGCTATTGGAGAGAGGCCTGACTGATGTGGGTCGGATTTTTGGGGTTTAGTTTCGTGAACCCGAACCCAAACCACGAAGCCCACACATCCCCGCACCCCACACTAGCCACAACCCACATCAACCACATCCACATAAAGCCATAGCTCGGCCTGCACTCCCCTTCCTTCCCACTTTCCTCCTACGACGGGTAGGAGGAAGGGGGCATGGGATGGGAGTTCAGTTTTTGCATCGTCATCCTCACCACCATCATGATCATCAACACCATCATTATTACCATCACCATCGCCATCATATCATCGTATGATCCCCCCCGTCAACATTTTCCCCTCCCACCTTACACCTGTTTGAAAGCGCCGCAACCTACCACGTAATACAACTCCCAACTCCCAACTGCCAGGTCGCGGCACTCATGTCCAGCAAGCTCCCCCCGGACTGGCGACTGATATGCGGTGCCACCATACTGGCAGTGGACGGTCAAACCTTCGTCAACCGCAAACGACTCAAGGGCGAGGCGGATCTGTTGCTGGTGGATCCAGACGGTGTCGTACAGGTGAGGATGCATGGCGGGGGTTCCGTTGTTGTTGTTGGAGGCGAATGGTATGTATGTATGTATGGGTAAGTAGATAGATGGTGGATGTACGGAATGCTGTTGGGGGATTTGAATGAGATAGGTATGCGTTCAGGGGCAAACGGGTGACCGCCGCGTGTGGGTGAGAGCATCGCGCCAG